AAACATAAAGCTGGAGCCTGAGGACAGTGTCCAAAAGCACAACATCACTATTAATCATAAAACACATCAAGTTTATTTGAAAGTTCTGAGGACAAAGAACACACAAACACACAATGCCTCAGTGATTAACAGAACTGTTTCACAGATCACAGAACTATATCAGGGTGTCATTTCTCAGGCAGAAATGTAGATAAAAATAATGAAATCCTGTTCCCTAAACAAGTGCAAGAACCACAGAGTCAAGAATAGGTTAAATATACAAATAAAATAAAATCAATTAAAAACAATAGCACATCAACATAAAAACATATAAACATACATCTGAAAGCGTTGCTCAAACTCCCGTAACAGTCCTGTTATTTTATCTTTGAACCGTTTCATGTCTGCCACATGTTGGGTCGCGCACACATTTTTCAGACAGGGGAAGTGAGCTGCATCACCACCGGCAAGTTGCGTCTCCCACAATGACAGCTTCAACTTGAAAGAACGTATGCTGTCATAATACTGCGTGACAACTTTGTTGCGCCCTTGCAGCTGTTTGTTCAAGTTATTCAGGTGCTCTGTAACATCCACCATAAATGCAAGGTCCGGCATCCATTCTGCGGAATGAAATTCTAACACTGGTTTGCCCTTTTCTTCCATGAACTGTTCAATTTCTTCTCGTAAATCAAAGAAACGCCTCAGCACAGCACCTCGGCTTAACCATCTTACCTCAGTGTGGTATGGCAGGCCATAGATGTGGTCTTTCTCTCTGAGAAGGCTGTCAAACTGACGGTGATTCAGGCTTCTGGATCGGATGAAATTAACAGTTTGGATGACCACCTTCATGACGTTATCCATCTTTAATGACTTGCAACACAAAGCCTCCTGGTGCAAAATACAGTGAAAAGTCAAAAAATCACGTCCTCCATTTGCAGATTGCACTTTCTCTCTGAACTTTGTCACAACGCCTGCTTTTTCCCGATCATTGAGGGCGCACCAACTGTAGCCAGGCTGACCGCGCGGGACCAGTCCACTCCGACCCTGTCCAGCGCGCCGACGAGTGCGGTAAAAATATCAGCTGCTGTCGTTGTATCTGTCATCGGCACCAACTCCACGAACTCCTCGGTGACGGTCAATGTGTCATCAACTCCGCGGATGAAAAAATGGCCAGTTGTGCAACATCTGTAATGTCCGCGCTTTCATCAATTGCAACCGAAAACGCAATAAATGACTTTACTTTTTGCTTCAACTGGCTGTCCAAATCCACTGAAAGATCGGAAATCCTGTCTGCAACTGTGTTTCTTGTCAGGCTGATATTTGCAAAAGCCTGCCGCTTTTCAGGGCACACAATCTCCGCTGCCTTCATCATGCATGTTTTTACAAATTCACCCTCACTAAATGGTTTTGAAGCCACTGCGATTTCATTAGCAATGAGGTAGCTAGCTTTCACTGCAGCGTCACTGATGTCTCGGCTGTGAGTAAACACAGACTGCTGTTTCTTCAGACCCGCCAACAGTTCATTCACCTTCTCTCATCTCCGCTGTCCTTGAAAGTTGTCATATTTGTCGGCATGAAGACTCACATAGTGGCGACGAAGGTTATATTCTTTCAGCACTGCAACATGCTCTGAACACACCAAACATACAGCTTTCCCATTCAATTCCGTGAATAAATAGAAGGATGACAATTTTTCTTGGAACACTCTGCACTCTGCGTCCACTTTTCTATTTTTTGACAGAGACATATTGGGGCAATGAGGGTGCCAAAGCACATAATGTTAAAAGTAGAAGCTGTAATAAATATCGCGGGCAAAACAAAGTAGCTCATTGGTTGCACGTGCTTGACCTACTTGCTCTGCCCCGGTATAAACAGTTTGCTTGCTTAACACAATTGCTATTGCGCCATCCAGTGGACGCAATTGGAACAGCAGTTTATATTATTGAAAAATTGCAGCGCATATTTATACTTTAAAAAAAACACAAAAAAAAAACAAACATTGTAATCATCTCGCGGGCCGGATTAAACCCGTTTGCGGGCCTGATCCGGCCCGCGGGCCGTACGTTTGACACCCCTGCTAAAGACGCAGAACAAGCTTTCCTCTCCAACAGAGAGTAAACCGATACAGAGGGCATAGTGAGTACTTTCTGTGAGGAATTACATCTCAGTACCAGAAAGCCGTCATGGCTGCTGTTTCAGTAGGCCCAGTTTATTTAGCTGGATATTCAATATGTTAGCCAGGGCATGAAATAAGCACCATGACCATAGCCGAGGGGAATTTGTTGTAATAAAGGCTCCATTAAAGGTTAGTGGGCTGCCCAGGGATGCTGAAAAGAGAGTGACCACAAGTCATATTATGTTTGATTGCAAAGGGAAAGGGCTAGTAGACGCACAGGCACATACGTACACACACCTGTTGTAGTGTCTGCTTTCATTACAAGGGTCAGTCATCATGGGGCTGCAACCCAGAGCAACCGCTAAACAAATACAGCCTGTCCTGCACAGATAGCAGGTGTCTGACTTTTAGTGCGGCAATTTTTGTCCTTTATATCGACCGTCTAATGTCCAATGAATCAAGTTAATATGCTACCACGGTTCAATGACCTTTTATAAGTTAACATTTTACCCACAGTAAAAACCTGAGATGTATAACACAACTTGAACACAACCAATGGCCAACAAAGATCAATGGTTTTAGCCATAGCAACCAAAACCCTGAAAGATTCACTGTATAATATGTTAGAATGAGGATTAGACATCAATAAGCAACCAACAGGGTTGTTGTGTAGGTTACTTTCTAAATGGAATCTGTTAGTTACTACATGTCCAAAATTGTAATCAGTAGCGTAATCTGATTGCTTTTAGATCACTTTCACCTTAAGAGGCATTAGAGGAAGACAAAACGGATCCATCAAACGCGTTTGGTGTGTCATCACAGTGGTCTCTGATTTGTGGTCAGAGTTGCTCCGGTGAACAAATTTGAAATTGCGCCTTTCAATGCTGAATTGAACGTCATTGAGAAAAAAAGAAAGGTGTCAATGTGTTTTTTCTGAATTTAAGTGATCCAAGAAGTAATAATATTTTTTCTACATGTATTCAGTTACTCCCCAACCCTGGCAACCAATCAACACCGCAGTAAACGATCTGTAATGTAATGAATTAAATACATTATCTTCAGTTGCCACTTTGAGAACCTTCAGCGTTTCAAATGGAGGCAGAGGCGGCTCAATCCATCATAATAGATCCTGTCCCCCCCTGGGACCATGTCTGGTAATGTCACATTACCAATGAATCATGTCCCTGTCTGCGTCCCAAATAGCACCCTATTCACTACGCTGTGCACTACTTTTGACCAGAGCCCTATGAGCCCTGGTCAAAAGACGCAGACCCTCTTTGCATAGACCATGGCTGAAGCCTATGTCATTTGACTGTCAACACTCTCCTATAAATAAATAAGAGAGAGAAGCTCCTTTCTTCAGCGATTTCATCAGCTGCAGATGATCCATCACGGTGGATCAGACCTGTTTTGGGAACGCTGGTGGTGCCTGGATGATGAGAGATTAGTCATGTTTTTGTACTTTTGAGGGAATAATAACAGCAAAAATCTCAGTTGCATTGTTTGTTTTTGGATGCTGTACAATCATTGTATTGTACACAAGGCATTCGGCAAACACGTGACATTTCCTATCAACAACAAGACCTTTTACTATCCTTGTGACCTTTGATTAAATCCGATCCTAATGATCTTTCTTCTACTCACTGGAGTATCTGTGATAAAGATAAATATGGATTATAAAAGTCCAGCAGGAGAAATCTGAACAGTTGTTGAACGATCCTCTTGGATCCGCATTGTGTTTGTAAGGTAGTGCTGCCACCTTCTGGCAAAATGAGCTTATGCTTGTGCCCCAAATAGCAGCTCATTCCCAATATAGTGCACTCCTTCAAAATAGTGCACTATAAAGGGAATAGGGTGCCATTTGGGACGTAGACAATGACTTATCCTATCAAACTAATAACCAACAAACCTACTCACTGTTACCATTGTCCACTGAAGCACTGGTGTGTCAGAAACCATATCATTTGCACCAACAACCAAAACACAAACTTGCACAGGCTCCTCTTGAGAACATAAGAAGTCATTCTTGTCTGTAATGGAGGATTGAACCTGACTCAATTATTCACATCTCCAGCTGCTACTCTGGGTAAACAGGCTGGCAATCATACCCCTGTGATTTCTAGTGAAGTGTGTTGTGATCAGAGAGAACAGCTGTAATGCTGCACTTAATGCATCTATCCATCTCGCTCTCTCCTTCATTCGCCCTCTCTCTCTTGCTCTCTCTGTCCCCTGATCTGACAAAATCTCTTAATCGCCCTCCTCTCATTCCCCACTTTAACATTTTGAGAGCTTGGGACTATGAGGTTCTATCTGCATTTTTGTCAAAATTGAGTTATTGACATAGCCTCGTTCTGTTCAATGTTCTCTACTCATATAGTACTCTAAGTATCCAAATTCATGTTGTTAAGTTCAAAAGAATACTAGAAAAAAATTGCTGACACCATTCAAACCAACGAGGGTTCGGAACTTTAAAGCCAATTATCTCAGAATCATCTTTTTGCAGATAGAACCTTATAGCCGTATAGAACCAGCAGCGACATAGAATAGCGGATTGATACTGTTCTGTCCTGATTTTCCTCACTGTCTTGATGTGATCCAAATGCGACATGGGAAAACACTGAAGAAACCAACTGTAAAAGATTGTGTTTAACAACAGCTGATCAAACACCAGGCAAATGTAAGACTGTGACAATGTAAGACTCAAGTGAAATGAATGTATGGGAAGTATCAGACATTGAGCCAACAGAAATGTACTCCTTAGTCTGTATCATACCATACTTAAACAAGAGACCAGAGTGACACACACACACACACACACACACACACACACAGACACACACACACACACACACAGACAGAATGAAAGGAAACAAAAAGTAAGTGAAGTGTAGACAGAAGAAAGACAGCCACTCTCCATTTCATAAAGCTTTATCCCACAGCTCCCCCATGGCTGGAGGCCTAGGTAGCCAGGCTCATATACATTTACACACTGCTCTTGCTCCCTGCCCTAGTTAAATAACTCAATTATTCAAGACAAAAAGAACCAACACACACTTTACTCAACTTAAGATAACAATAGCAATAGAATAACAACGATAATAATAATAACAACCATAGTCAAATATTGTATATTTCCAGGTCTTATAATTCTCTAAAATTCCTAATATTACATTGTCAGTCATTTAAGGTGCACCATAACATCTGCATGTGACATTTTCAATAAAACTCAACACATGTTGCACCATAACACACCGTGAAGAAGACACATATTTTTGTTGCTTTTTTTTGTTCATTTTTCAACAATTATTTATTCGCAGAGTTTTCTTCCTTCTCGAACTCTGCGGCATTAGATATATGTTTTTAGTGATTTTAAAAGCAGTCCGTAGTTGGTTTCTTTATTTGGCACACTTTTTATTTCTAAGCTGTTGCGTCGTGTGACTCAAATGGATTGGATCAACCGGTGGTGTAAGGCCTGGTGTCTCAGAGGACTTCTGGAGAGAGAGAGAGAGAGAGAGAATAATTAATTTGTGCTTCAATAGGGAATATGAGCTACACTACTGTGTATGAATCCTTGAGGACATAATGTAAGATGTAATTGGTCCCATTCCTATTGCTTTCTTTGTTTGTTTGCTTTGCTTGGGTTAGGCTGTCTTCGAGACCGGCTGTGGGGGTCTTGGCATGATGAAGGGGGACTCGCTTGCCAACCTAAGGGGCATGCCCAAACAGGACTGGGACCCTATTTTCCAGTCTTCAACGTCAGCTCTCCCACACAGGGAGCTTGGGCAGCATGCCCAGAGGCTGAGACCCAGGCTTGGGGATAGTGGTAGAGGTTTGGAGCCCCTTCTCCGCATACTGTAGTAATAGTTCTAGCTAATTACAGCATAATTAGGCCTACATTGTAGTTATTTAGCAGACTCTCTTATCCAGAGCGACTTACAGTTAATGCATTCATCTTAAGATAGCTAGGTGGGACAACATATATCACAAGCATATAAAGTAGCTCAGTAGAGTCAGAACTAGAAGGGGTGGGAGGGTCGAGGCCTTCCTTTAAGGTTGGCTTTAAGTTCTAGCTAATTACAGCATGCCTTTTGCACTGTGCTGATCTATACACATGCTGGTATTTTGGTTATAGAGCAATGGATTGCTTAAAGTGATAGAACACCTTCATTTGTACTGTTAAAATAAGCATTTTGATCATAAGGCATGTATGTGGGTCTTAATCCTGACCTGCATAGCTACCTGCAGCATGCTGAGGCTTCATTGGACCTGTTTTCATGAGGAAGGGCTCTCCGCTCTCGAAGGCCAGGATTGGGTCACTGACGATGTCACTCCCCAGTTGCCCTGGCCCACCGTTGCTGCTCCCACTGTGATTGGGCATCTGGATGATCTGCTCAAACTCAGCAGCCTCCCCATTGGCTGAGAGACCGTTCTGGTGCTTGGCTGGCTGGACACCGTTCAGGACAGGGGCAGACTCTGCTGCACTCTGCTGGCTCTCAGGAGCTGCAGGGGAAAAAAAGTTCCAAGTAAAAAATGGAAAATGGTCACTGACTGACTGACTGACTGATTTTATCACATGTTGGAGCCTGTAGAGTGACACTCTACAAATGTAATGGATATAATTGACTCTTAAACAAATACTGTACATAGCCCTTAACAGACTGGGTTTTCAAGGATGGAGGGAGAACATTTACATTTACGTCATTTAGCAGACGCTCTTATCCAGAGCGACTTAGAACAAAGTGGCATTGCAAGTTAGATCGCAGCCAACATACCTTTACTTCTCTCCATAGTCTCCTTGCCATTGGCCTGTGCTGGGGAATTGGAATCCTTCGGCAGTGTTGGCTAGAAGAACATAAAATGGCACAAATTGGCACAAATGGTTGCCGTGCATCACCCAAGGGTGCTACACATTGGTGGTGCTTTGATCATCTGGAAGAGCACTATTAAATGCAATCAATTAAATTATTTAAAAGGTATGATCTTTAATCTGAACAAAGAGGCGAGGTAGGTCTATACGAAAAAGTAAGAAAATGTATACACTCACTACTGTAAATCGCTCTGGATAAGAGCAGCTGCTAAATGACTAAAATGTTAAATGTATAAATGTCTTTAAGGTCTATAAAGCACTATATACATATCATGTATTATTATTATTATTATTATAAGGGTTTAATATGAAGCATAGGCCTTACACTACTCACCTTTTCTCCAGCATCACTACTCTTACGTGTCCTCTTCATGATCTCTTCAAGGCGCTGTGGAATTCAACAGCAGAGGCAGATTAAGTCATCATTTTATTTTTTACAACAAATTAGTTGTATCTTCAACATATTTTATATAGACCTAGAGATTTTCCATGTAAGGTTACATGATAGGTACTTTGAAACACACTGAAAACTGCAGACATGTTTGACTTCTCCACTTTGCTTCCCCTTCCATCCCTCATCCCTCCATCCTTTTCTACCTTCTTTCTCTCCAGGCGCGCCTGCTCCTCCTTCTGGAAGTGCTTCTCTCTCTCCAGGCGCTGACGCTCCGCCTCCTCACGAGCTCTGGCGTCAGCCTCTTCCCGCTGACACAGACAGACAGGGGAAAACAACATTATCAATACATTATCAATACTATGATTGAATAGGCCTACTATACGCATCCATTTATGCACATATAGGATGCTGTTATTATGATAACAAGGAAATGAATTGACAAAGAAATGGAACCATTTCAGTCTTGATTAACAAAAAATTGAAATAGGATACATTCTTTCAAGGTCATTTAATCCAATTGGCAAGATAACTACAATAGTAGATTCCCTGTTTTAACCACTAGGTGGCAGTATACGCCTAGTCTAGACCACAGTAGGCAGGGTTTGATGTCTCTCTAATAATAATTCCCTTACATGGCTCACTGGGTATGGAGGAATGAAAACCAAGCTATGATATGTCTGAATCACACCTGTCATTAATTAGACCAACCAAGGGATATACCACAGGCAGCAAGGAAGTAAATGGCAACATCAATAACAACAATATGCCTGTAATGCTTCACAGTGCAAAAAACAAAACTACATCTGTTTGCTATGGCATTTCAATGTTCAAAGTTGCCTGGAATATAAAACTTGCTTTGTCATGGTTCATGAGACCGCTGAAACTACTGTATGATGCCTGACTATCTTGACACACACTGCACGGGAGATGGCTGGCAGTGTTAGACAAATGGCAAATTGAACTGGGCTTCCCTAGGGGCAGAAGGCATGGGTAGTGGGTACACTGTCGCTCCCTATCTCTGTCAGCCCACTGCAGTGCGGAGACAGAGGGAGGACAGAGCTGTCACTATCTCACAGTCACAACGGCCCTCTCAGCTCCACTAAATGCTGGGCCAACACTATTATGAAGGTCACCAGCTGGCATCTGCCTAGACTGAGCATGGAGGCTGTTACATGCTGATGGTAGACCTCACAGTAACACACATTCCCTCCCATACCTAGACGTGCTTAGATGGTAGGGCTTCAGAGGATAGGTTTCAGAGTTGGAAATCAGACTATTTGTGGACTATATTCAGTTTATGTAATCCTTATCTTGTGGTTGCTATTGAAAATCCCTGGGGTGGCTGGCATGATAAGATGTGGACTATGAAGAAACCAACTGTGAAGGCTGCCTGTGTCATACATCTTCTTCTATGTCAAGACTCCATTACCCATAATGCTGCCCTCACCTGTTTCTGCAGGCGTTCATTCTGCTCCTGTTCAGCCCTGGCTCTCTCCCGCGCCTCCTCCTCCTCCTCCAGACGCTGTGCCTCGTCTCTCAGACGCTGATCCTCTGCCATGAGGCGCGCCTCCTCCTCCCTGCGCCTCCTCTCCTCCGCCTCCCGAGCCATGCCCTCCTCACGAGCAATCCTTCATGGGGAGCACGCTCCATTAGGTCTGCACATTCTAAGATGCGCTCATACTGGACAGCATTCTCATATCAACACACAAAATGGTTCAGGCCAATGCTACACACTTGTCTTGTACATTCAGCAAACAGTAAACCCTTCACATGTCTATAGACAGACATATAAATACACTCCAGTCTATAACACTTAAACATTATACAGTGCTATAATATAAACAGAATGACATGTTGAATCACTCCAGCCAGTGTTTGACTGACCTTATCCTCTGCTCCTGCTCAAGGCGCTCCTGCTCCTCTCTCTCCCGTTGCTCTCTGGCCTGTCTGCGTTTCTCAGCCAGCACTCGTGCTGCTTCCTCTGGGTCGTTGGTGCCGGCTGAGGGCCTGGAAGCTGGAGTGGCTGGAGTAGATGATGTAGCTGAGGCAGCCGGGGCAATTGGGGCAGTTGGGGTAGCCAGCTCTAGGGTTGAGGCAGGAGTGGAGGTGGCCACTGTGACTGGTGCACTCAGAGATGGGGGTGTCACCGGTGCCGAAGACACAATAATGGCAGGAACATTACTGGAGCCTGTAAGAGCAAGAGGGACAGGAGAGGCCTCTGTTTCAGATCAGAAGCCACATGATAGACCATGACCCTGGAAAATGCTTCAGGGCTCATCTGAAGCAAACATCATGAAGTATAAACAATCTGTGTGTTTTCTCCAGGCAGAGAGAAGAAAGACTAAGTAGCAGCTGAAGAGAAACATGAGACCCACCTGATCTTGGACAGTGGGACCACATTAATAATGTACGGCCTTTACGGTAGAGTAACTCTTGATAATAAAAGATACATGAACTCCAGAGAAACAAATAGATCATGGAAGATAGATATATGTAAGTATCTAGTCTGTAAATGTCACAATATACAGTATGTGCTTGTGCTGAAGGCCACACTCAACCACAGGAGGTTGGTGGCACCTTAATTGGGGAGAACGGGCTTGTGGAAATGGCTGGAACGGAATATGTGGAATGGTATCAAATACATCACGTGTTTGATGCCATTCCATTTGTGCCGTTCCAGCCATTATTATGAGTGTTCCTCCTCTCAGCAGTCTCCACTGCATTCAACGTGTGTACTCCAGTAACACTACTGGTGTGGCTGTAGGCCAAAGCATTTAAAAGACACTCTGGCGCTTGGATACAGTATCTATGGCGAACACACTTACTCTTTTTCTCCTCAGGAGTGATGGGCTGATGGTGCTCGCTGTTCGTTTCCACGGCGACGGCTGCGACCGGCTGGGGCTGTACCCTGGCAGGTGTCAAGGCTCGTTTGGGGCGGGTTTTGGTGCCAGAGGGGGTCTTCTTGCCTGTGGAGGGGTTCTTGGGGGCCATTGGAGGGCAGGGGGACAACGGTCTGCTTTTGGGGGCCGCAGGCGACGGAGGTCTGTTTTTCGGTTTGGGGGTACTGCTGCAGGAAGGGTGGAAAGAGGGATGGAAAAGTGAGAAGAGTAAATAAAAACAGCAGTTGAAATCATAGTATCTCTAGCTTTCCTTTCAGACAGGTTGCAGGTTATTTAATTTCATATTTCAACATCACTCATCAACTCTGTGGTCTAGAACTAGGTCAGAAAAAGTACTATTGAGAATGACTGAATCTCTACATAAACTTTCAAAGCTCAATAATGCTGCCATGGTCCCATGGCCCTGTTGTAGTCAGATGTGAGATGAGACCATGGCTGAGTCCCAAATAGCACCCTATTCCCTATGTAGTGCACTACTTTTGACCAGGCCCATAGGGCTCTGGACAAAAGTAGTGCACTATATTGAGAATAGGGTGCCATTTGGGACGAAGTCCCATCCATGGTTCTCCTTGGTTTCCCAGCGCTGAGCAGCACCAGCATCACTCAGGGAAACCCCATTCTGTCTGAGTGTTGCTGCCTCCCTCCCGCTCCTGGTGTTGGCAGACAGACCCCTCAGCTGAATGGTGTCCAGCGGCTCTTTGGGCCAAGTTAAAACAGTCTGGACCATCTGTCAGTGAGACAGGCCATTTAACCTGGCCCGGGGCTGAACCTCCCTCCCTCTGCTAAGCACTAAGCTAACCCCATGCAGATCTCTCTTCAGTAACACACTCTATTAGCATCTAATACATAAAGGTCAATGTCTTGTCTTGGTCAATGATTATAGAGAGAGATAATGTTGCAGAGGGGAAAATAAAACAGTTTGACAGTATATATAAACTGTAGATCAATAGCTTTTTTGAACTCAAAAATAGGATTTCTAACTTGAAAGGCTTACAGTATAAAAAAGACAGTGTACTACTATAGGGCCATGTGGTATAGAACAGTTTCGAGTAGTTGTGCTGTTAAGTCTAAGACAGATTCGGGGTCAGATCTGGGTCAGATCTGTATCTAACAACACCTTGACTCCGGCCTGGATCTGGTGGTGGTCGGGGTCGTTGTTGGGGTCTTCTTCTTCTTCTTCAACACGATCTCTTTGGAAAGAGCATTCTTCTCTTTTTCGTTCTCCCTCTCCTTGTCTTTCTTCTCTTTCTTTGTCTTATCCAACTTTGAGAAACAGAGAGAAAGGAGGGACCAGTTAGGGCTAATGACATCGCGTTGGGAGGCTGTGCGTGTGGATGTAAGCTAACCGGCGTTGAGCTCCGTCGACGTTGCCGCTGTGTGATATCAGGTGTGCTGGCGGACACTCCTCCCCTCCAGCGTTCGGAGGTGTTCCGGTGAGGATGGTGGTGGGAGCAGGCGTCCAGTGGGCTGGCTGAGGCTGAACGGGAGCAGTGGTGAGAGTCTGAGTACAACACAGAGATGAAGAGAAACTGGCTGGATGGACTAGGTCAGGTCAAGACCCCTATTACAGTCATGATAATAATAGACCGCTTAGGCCAGCTACTGAGAATGTAATGGTGGCACATACAATCATTCAGGGTGGCTGTCTGGCTGACTGTCAGCCTTGGGGGCAATATTAGGTTCTGCAGGATTTAACCACTCATGTTCGTGGCTGAGTGAGTTTACTTCCTCTGTCTAAAATAAGGCATGAAATCATGATACTGCAACTAATGGGAGTATGGTGCATATCATACATGCTGTATGTTTTCCTCTGAAAGAAAGGAAGGAAAACACTAGAATACCCAAGCTTCAACCCTGTAATTGTAAGTTAGCAACAAACAAAAGGAGAGAAGGTACATTTCATAGTTTCCATTTCCTGTAATGTTAAGTTCTACAATGAAAGGAGAGTAAAGAGTCCTAGAGAGGGGTGACTCACGGAGGTCCCGGGAGTCGCTGGAGTTGAGCAGGGTGACGGCGCTGCGGCTGCGGGCCAGGAAGGACAGGGTGGGAGTCATGAGCCTCTCCACGATGCGGCTCTCCCACGGGCTCAGACGCAGACTGCGGGCTGGCAGACACAAGAGAGAGCTGTTAATACCTGGGTGTGCTTACCCGCCCCCCACTCACACTCACACTCAAACACTGCAGACTCCCCAGAACCAGACACTGCACCACCACCAGGTTCAGCCACCGTTCCCCAGTCACTCACTGACGACACTGCAGCACAGCTTTTCATCCCCCAACACAAACTGGCCACTGTCTGACCACACTCTCTCTAACTGCACCAACCTCACTCTGACCACACAGAGACAGTCACAGACTCCACTCCAGTTGTACATTATGATGGACAAGTAGAGAAATCTGGAGGTGTTTCACCTACTTTACATGTCACATATACAACTTTACCAATCACACATATCAACAAACCGACTCAACTACTTCATTTTGAAAATGTTACTTCTTTCTAGATGACTTACCATTACAAAACACACCACCCAAAAGCCACGGCTATCTAGTAGGCCATGCAAAGGCAGGTTAAAGTTTCTGATCAATTCAGCATTATAGCCTGCACTACCCAAATGCTATGTGTAAGGCTCACTCTTATGATACTGGCCTAATTACATTGTTTGTTTGTCATATGATGTTAAGTGTTACATTAGTGTCATAAGATGAAGACTGATCCATATGAAGTTCAACAACAGGAGGATGTGTTTGATGCATTGTAATGGGCTGCTACACAGACATTGGTTGGCACCCTATTCCCATATAGTGCACTAGTTTTGATCAGGGCCCATAGGGCTCTGGACAAAAGTTGTGCACTACATAGGGAATAGGGTGCCATTTGGCATGCTGAATTCTGACAAACACTCTCAAGAACAATCATAACTGGAACAAATGTAATGTCAGAGCAAATGTGTTTCGAACGTTGTGAGAGCCTGAAATCATTTGTCCCTAAAACTACACCAATATCAGAAATGAAGAAAGTTTCAAACACAGCATATGAGACAAAGAAGCAGTAGAAGTTGTAGTGAAAGAACCAGACTGGTGGATTTGTGAAAGGCCTCTTTGAGAGAGTTCTGTGTGGAGGAGAATTTGGAGGATAAATGACCCAAACCTTTTGAAGATGAGTTGAAATGGGGACAATGTGCAATGCAGCGTTATGTAATACTGTAACATACATAATACAGTACCTCCCGTTCCTCTCAACTCTCAAACTGGGGTAACGAGTCTGACCGTCCCCCCTGAGTTTACTGGTGTCTCGTAAACTTCCTTCTAAGTAATTGCCAATTATCTGACTAGAGTTTCAGCATCTTCAATGGGCCATTTATAGTATCTCACAATGGAATATTTACATAGGCTTCTCAAGTTCAACTCCATCACAAGGACGTTTGACAGTGGAATGTCGCAAAATGTAAACTGTGAGATGAACAAAACTGTAAAGGCCTAAAATACCATTCTGTTAAGAGTCTTCCTGTACATTGCTTCTCTGCTGTACATTTTAGCAGACACTCTTATCCAAAGCGCCTTACAGGAGCAATTAGGGTTAAGTGACTTGCTAAAGGGCACATTGACAGGTTTTTCTCCTAGTCGGCTCGGGGATTCGAACCAGCGACCTTTCAGTTACTGGCCCAACACTCCTAACCGCTAGGCTACCTGCCGCCTACTGGTTTATTGTGTGGCCCCAAGTCTTTAGGTGAAGTCGGCTATGCTAATGAGCGTCCCAAATGGCACCCTAATCCCTATTTAGTGCACTACTTTTGACCAGGGCCCATAGGGTGCCATTTGGGATGCGACCTTGATACGGCTCCTTAGGACAAGTCAGCTATGCTTGTGTAGATCACTCAGCTCTCTGTATGCTTTAACTAATTACACACACACACACACACACACACACACATTCACCCATGTAAGGTAAACTCATAACAGCAACAGCAAGAAGCTCATGATAAGCGTGATGTTTAAATACTGTTGATGCATGTAAAGCACATTTAGGATGTCACCTATCAGTGAATGGAAAACCCTGAAAAGCATAGACAGATATACTAAGTAGCTAATATAATCGAATGGTTCATATTATCTAATGGACCTGGGGTCACCTTTTTTGGACATATCATTTTCACAAAGTGTTTTATGGTTGATAACCCAACTAGGCCCAGGCCTTGTTGCTAAGCAACAGAAAGGTGGATTTTTTTTTCTCCTTCAATGCGGCAAGACATTTGCTGCGTTGCAGCCTGATAAAATGTACACCTGGTAGTTGGGATCCTGGGTCTATAAAACGCATCTGGCTATTATAGGCATACTTACTGTATATCCTGAAGCCAGAACATTGTTGCTGCTAAATTGACTGGATTTTATATGGAAGCTTCTGGAAAATGTAAGTCTGCTGAGGGAGGACATTCTGTGTATCCTCATGCAAGTATTGACTATTGACTTCAGAATATTGCATTTGAACAACCATTACAGGGGTGTGGTATTAGAGATCAATTGAAGCTGACTGTAGTCGGTTATGAGAGACATGACAACATCTAAAAGAGTGGATGACAATAAAGCTGAATATTAATATTGTAGCAACTTATAAACATCACGACCTCTCTATCTGAGATCTCCTGTCCACATATTATAATGTAATAAGTAAATAAAGAGATCAGTCATGACTATCTGACCATGGACTTGTACATTTACACTAGTCTTCTTTTAATCCAAAATGGAAAATCCTTAGCATTAGAAACATTAGCCACAGTCACATTTCAATGATACCACACCACCACTACTGACCCCAGCACCATTATTGACACCACCAACACTGACACCACCAACACCATACCACCACCACCGACGCCACACCACCACCATTGACACCTCACCACCACCACTGACATCACACCACCACCACTGACACAGCATATCACCAACAGCAGAGTGGAGGACAACCAAAGAGTGTGGAAGAGGCGGGTGTTGTGACAGAAACCTATATACACCAATATAAATAATCATCACAAAATATGGAATAGACATGTCAGGGCTGATCAAAAATGCAAAGAGAAGGTAAATCAATCAACAACAAATCAACAGAACCACGATGCACACGAGACCGGGGGTGTGAGGGGGTAATGTAGTGTTATAGGGATAGGAAATGACCGGTCACCAAGCAGCAGGCAGGCAGGCAGGCAGGCAGGCCACCAGCAACAACAGTTAAAATAAAAACCAAACACCAGATCGGGGTAAGGTACGGAGATCTGAGAGGGAGGGGGTGGGCAGAGGGGAGGAGAGGGGTTGACATAGAGGCCTGGTGGACATTGACTCGGGTCAGTCGTCCTTACTTCTGTTGGGGGAGTTCCAGAGGGTGGCAGAGGACTTGGACAGCCTGTTGTTAATGACAGGGTCCACCTGTCTCGGCAAGTTGACGGTAGAGGCCGAGCATCTGCCTGCACCGGAGAGAACGCAACAGACAACAACTGTTCACAAGGCGGGCGGGGTGGGGACCCGACGAGGCTGTGCTGGACTCGTAGGGGAGAGGAGCGTCCGAGATCGCTGAGCTCAGATATATAAGACCCCTCTTCAAATGAAATCCCAAGTTCATGTCATTGTGATACCTAAATGCTATTTTTAAAACTTTATTCTGCTGATCTGTGTATTTGTTTATGTATTTGTATGTATATTGTAACAATTGTTGGTTCACTAATGTTTTTATTACCATCCTCACACAGGTGTGGCAATTGTAATTATCCCCTAGGCACCTGCATATTAAAAAAAACTATGGCTTTGGCACATCTCTTGATGCTCTGAAGGCATAACTGCCGAAACGCATTAGCCTGCCCGGCCGAAAATAAAAAGGTGAAATGAGGTGCCGTCTTTTTTTGTTCCTTTTTTATTTTTTTACTTTTTGGAGTGTCGCCTTTTCTCAATGTTCTTGAACTTCAGATTTCATTTGAAGTCATTGTCATTATTGGCAGAGCACCCAGCTATTAAAGCGAGATAGCGCACCTGTTACCCACTCCCCAATATAATACCCCTCTGCCTGTCTGTCTCCCTGGATCACGCAGCTGATAGAGCTAGACCTTCTACAGGAGAGTAGGACCACTTCACCATTCACTGATTCATTGATTCACTTTAGGCTGTCGGTTCACACAGACCTGATTCACTCTTATTTAGACAGGGCTAACTCTTTGATTCACCTCATTCATTATTAAGCCGTCCACTCTGACAGATTCAGAGTGATTTTAATGTGGGGAAGGCTGGGGAAGGGGTTAGGGTACTGGAAAAAGTTTGGGGTAAAATTGGGAAAGTTAAATGACTGAAGTGACTGGGTTTATGAATGGCATCTAAAACCCAGAAACAAATCTTTGTATATAAAAAAGAAAATTGATTGTCTTTGTTGCTCAGACCAAAACACATCCACACACACACTCAATTTAATTTACACTTCAGAGAGGAGAGAAGGTTCTTGACCTCAAGGTCACAATCAAAGAGACAGCCTTTCACAAGCTTGCGTCATTGTTGGACTGAGCAGCATAGGAGAGAGTTGGCACACTGAACACTGAGTCGCTTCCTCACAGCTCTCTGATCAACTCAACACCTTGCAGTTCATGCAGCAAGTCTAATGAAACATATACATGACCCATTTTCCCCTCTGTCTCCTATTTCTGGACTCTACTGAACAACGAGAATCTGGAGTGAGGAAAACGGTACGTTAAGAAGGATCGATACAAATCTAGTCTAAATCATAATGGTACTCAGTGATTCAGTGATACCTGAAGCCAAGTAGAAATAGTGTGCCAATGTTAGGCAAAATAATGTTAGTAAACCTGAATTATACTGTCGAATGACTAATCTAGCTATTCTAATAGTACTCAGAACTTTACCACCCCAACCAAATTACAGTGCCTGACGATGGCCTAACACAACCCAGGCGACACCCAAACCTTAGGACTGTAAATAATTAACATCAGTTAGACTAGAAAGTCAAGTTTCTGTCCTGTTCCATGAGGGAACTGTGTATAAGCAGTTCATTGAGGTTCTGGGTGGTTCATGTCTATGCGGTCCTATGAGGTTCTACATGGTTCTATGAGGTTCTACGTGGTTCCAGTGAAACTCACTTTGCCTGCGGGAGGTCTGGTTGAGGCCGCCGGCCCAGGACCATCTCTGCTGACGGATCTCAGCCCACGTCTTTTTGGTTGACTTCTTGATGGCTGCCTCGTAGCGCTCCTGTGGTGGGGACATAAGGAGACAAACTGTGGCTATCTCCAGAAGCTACACTTAGCTGAGAACAGTGATATGTCATTTTTACTAAACCCCAAACCTCTGCGTGTATGTGCCCTCTCCACCCAAAGCAAACGCTTAGAATTGAATATTTTTCTAAAATGTTTATTAATGAAAGCTTAGATCAGGGTTCTTCAATTCCGGTCCTGGAGGGCCGAAACACTTCTGTTTTTTATTTCTACCTGGTAGTTAATTGCACTCACCTGGTGTCCCAGGTCTGAATTAGCCCCTGATTTAGAAGGAGAGGATGAAAAACAGAGGTGTTTCGGCCCTCCAGGACCGGAATTGAAGAACCCTGGCTTAGATCATTGATTGTATGTGTACCCTAGACTGCAACCAAGCTGATAACAAAACTGCACACAACACTTGAGCAACAGAGAGATATTGAACGTGACCCTCCTCCAGTCCTCTACTTCCCACCTTGTTCTTCTCTAGTTTCTGCCTCTGTTTCTCCTCCAGGAGGGCTCTGCGTTTCTCAAGCTTCAGTCTCTGGTCCTCCAGCCTCTTCCTGCGCTCCTCCAGCTGGCTCTCCCTCAGACGCCTCGCCTTCTCCTCCTTCTCCAGCCACTGGGCCTTCTTAGCCGCTACACAACGGGAGGCAACGGGTACAGGTTTAGTTTAGTTTTATTTGAGTATACATGGTTTAGTTGAGTTTAATTTCACATGGTTTAATTGTTTTATTTTAATATACATGGCTGCTATGTAGGTGAATTGCGTTCACATCAGGAAACTCAAAAAAACATAAATCAATAAATGTGGTACAGTTAGCTAATCAAGAAAGCTCCGAAGTCATGGATGGGATAATGGAACATTCAGGGTTGTTGAAGCACTTGTTTGGGATAGTGAACAGAGTAAACATCAGGGTTACATAGCTAATACCTTAGACCTGTTCTCTATTATCAGACTGGCTGTTACCAGCCTATTACCTAACTGGGATATAATCTCTCCATCTCTTTCTATCTCTCTTTGTCTGGCTCTCTCTCTCTTTCTGCACTACCTGGTCATAAACAACTCTGAATGACTGAGCAGCACATCATTTGTTGTTTGTCCACTGAGAGGAATTCTGGCCTGGTGATCTGTTAAAGGCTGTTTAGACGCACACAAGTCTCATGGCTTCCTGGAACCAGATTGGAAAAGGAAGAAAACTAGAATGGGAAGATGAAGACATATTGTTTACATCCTCCCAGAGTTGTAATCCTATTCGAAGAATTCTAATAACAGTAAAGTAGTAGTAGTAGTAGTAGTAGTAGTAGTAGTAGTAGTAGTAGTAGTAGTAGTAGTAGTAGTAGTAGTAGTAGTAGTAGTAGTAGTAGTAGTAGTAGTAGTAGTAGTAGTAGTAGTAGTAGTAGTAGTAGTAGTAGTAGTAGTAGTAGTAGTAGTAGTAGTAGTAGTAGTAGTAGTAGTAGTAGTGTAGTAGTAGTAGTAGTAGTAGTATCCTACTGCGTTTTACTAGTGCCCTCTAGCAGACACTGAGTTTCACTCCACAGATTCTGTGGCTCATTTCTGACAGCCACAATTAAAATGCAATCACTCGGCTTTATTTAAAATCCCAGCATGCTGTGCACCAGCTGTGTCCTCTCAGCTCATTAAGCCTCCTTTGAGGTAGACGCCACATGTGTACTGTGTTTCAGAGTGGCATTTCATGTTTTGTAGTCCCTTGCATGTGGGCCCACTTCCACAACACACATGTTGTTTAGCATGGTGGGGGCAAGCTACGTTTGTAGAGTTTTGGGGGGGCTCAGTTTTTTGGGGCCCACTTACACTACCCACGTTTTGTTTAGCACTAAAATGGTGGGGTCTGGATCCTCTTGAATCGTTTTTTTTGTTCAAGATAATGTCTCAGTGTTGATTGGGGGAAAATGAATGTGAGATGTCTTTGATAACGCATGCAATCCTCATTCTGAAATATTGATTTAGTCAAAACTCATGCATTTCAGATTTAGTCAAAATCTGAAATGCATGAGTGTTTGATGTTCTATGTTAAGGACCTGATTTGTATTCTGTTAACATTCCCTAGCCCTTCTCTATAAATAAGTAAAGGGCTAGAATACTCTAGTCCAGGGGTTCTCAAACTTTTTGGGTCCGGGAACCCATTTGTGATAGCAAAATAATCAGGGACCCCCTCATAATCAGAACACAACTCGAGTGAGATAAAAATTACATATAAGGAGTTTTACTATGACTTCGGCAGTGCATGGCCGGACGAACAAAGTCTCCGGCCCTGGCATCGGAGAGAAAGTCTGTTTTCAAGCTAATTTCCTGCAATTCTACACATTTTGTCATGGGGAAGAGAGAGAACTTTGCAGTTTTAAAGCTTAAATTACAGTGCATTTATGTAAAAAATATATATATCATTTTGGGGGAATACAAGAAGTATTGAGTTGAAAAATGTATAATTGGTGGATTACTGTGGATACCAATATTTCTGTGAGCCTCCCAGGCCCATGTTTCCCAGGGTTAAGAACATAAATTGTAGATTAATAATATGACATTGTATTTTGTATTAAACGTATTCCACGGATCCCTTGGCCAAAATTAATCTGTTGTTGTTAGTAATATTCATTCAAAATAATAATAATTCAGATCTGGCCGCGGACCCCCTGCAGTACCTCAATGGGAGAACCCCTGCTCTAGTCTGCACCCCATCCACAAAGAAAACACTTTCCCATTTCTCCATCATGGATACGAAGAAATTATATTGATTTTCAGTATCTGAGTGTCAGAAATACAATTAGCTAAATACGTTCCGTACATAACAACCCTGCACTTTAATATATGTTCCAAAAAAAAGTATATGTTTTATTGTCACGTACACTGGGTAGGTGCAGTGAAATGTGTTGTTTTACAGGGTCAGCCATAGTAGTACGTTGCCCCTGGAGCAAATTAGGGATAAGTGCCTTGCTCAAAGGCACATCAACAGATATTTCACCTTGTCGGCTCAGGTATTCAAACCAGTGACCATTTGGTTATTGGCCCAACGCTCTAACCACTAGACTACCTGCCACTTTTTAAAGGGATAAGTACAAAAGATAATCACATGCAGCTTTTTTTTCTGCATGTCATCATCAGTATAGTATATATATTGCCATAAACTTTAGAACATCCAACCATAAAAGCTTGATGCTGTGATATCTAAACATGTACAATATCTGGTCCATAGGAGATTCCTATCTTACATCTGGACAGACAGAGGTCAGCCAAAGGTTTGCCATTTTCAGTCAAATAAAAGGCTATGTCCATTGGTTGGCTGGCTGTCTGCTGAAACGATTCCTTGGCATGGCGATTATAATGAGACTAATGAAATAAGTAATTACATCTAATCTGTCTGAGAGGCACGTCGCGGTTGGTTCACGGTAATGACTACACATTTTTCACGCCGCGCCCCAGGGGGACTATGGAACGGCTCAGTTGGATACGCCCGCCAAGTCCTCCTCTGATTGGCTCAGGATTTGGCCTCAGTGCAGAGAAAGAGGGGCTTAGGCCAATGTTGTGGGAGAATAGGACTGGGGGAAATACTAGTCTACTGCATGTCTCTGAGTTGATAATAAGATCACAGAGTAAAATGACATGAAAAATAGACCCTGAAAGCATCTGTCGAGAAAAATCTATATTGGAAAGAAATCACTAATGATCCATCAAATGGAAGCAAAGTATACATGCAAATATGGTGAAATAAAAATATCTGCACAATGAGAACTGGAAAGAAAAAACATCATGATGGGGTCATATATTGTATTGTTGTCTCTACCTTCTTGCCCTTTGTGCTGTTGTCTGTGCCCAAAAATGTTTGTACCATGTTTTGTGCTGCTACCATGTTGTGCTGCTGCCATGTTGTGTTGCTACCATGTTGTTGTCATGTTGTGTTGTCATGTGTTGCTGCTATGCTATGTTGTTGTCTTAGGTCTCTCTTTATGTAGTGTTGTTGTGTCTCTCTTGTCATGATGTGTGTTTTGTCCTATATTTTATTTTTATTTTGTATTTTTAATCCGAGCCCCCGTCCCCGTAGGAGGCCTTTTGCCTTTTGGTAGGCCGTCATTGTAAATAAGAATTTGTTCTTAACTGACTTTCCTAGTTAAATAAAGGTTAAATAAAATAAATATAACTGAACTATCTAATCGGTTCAACCTTCAGAGAAAAACAAGACATTCTAAGGTTCCCAGTGAAAAACAAGACATTCTATGGTTCCCAGTGAAAAACAAGACATTCTAAGGTTCCCAGTGAAAAACAAGAGGACAACAAACAGAAGACAAAACAACTGATTCATGGAGGAGGTAGAAACAGGAAAGGACTGTTGAGAAGCAGACAGAGGGAAATAAAAACACATTGCATCACCATCACAAGGTGGAGATGTGGAGAATAATAGCATGACTGTTGCTGCTAGCAAGTGATGTTACCAACACTGCTCTTATAGCCTTACCTTGCAGCTGAGTTTGCTGTTCTGAAGCAGCAATACGAGAGGGAAGACAACAGCAAGTGTCAACAAGCATCAATCATGCAAAAGCAGAACCCATGGCAGAATATTCTAAATTCTAAAAGATCGTTAAAGACAGGAGATCAGTTAAGGGTTGCGTAATTGAACGTATTGAATGCTACAGTGTCTAATGGGTTAATAATCCCTACATTCGGCATCACTGTCTAGTGTCAGTGTCAGAAACGTAGGCTGCATCCCAAATAACACCCTATTCCCTTTATAGTGCACTACCTTTAACCAGGGCCCATATGGCTATGTCGGGAATAGGGTGCCATTTGGGACACATACCTAGACAAGACTAGATACATCTCTTTGCCCTCCACAACAGGCAAACCCAACATGTCACATAGGATACAATGAAATAATTTCTCTATAGCATCTTTTCCTTTATGGCTTACCAATGTATTTGGCCCTCTCCTCCCTCCGCTCCTTGGCCTGCTTCTGTCGTTGCTCTGTGCTCAACCCATCTAGGCAAAGAAAGATACACTTTGCATCAGATATACACTAAGTATACCAAACATTACGAACACGTTCCTAATATTTAGTTGCACCCCCCCCCCCACCCCCCCTCCCCCCTTTACCCTCAGAACAACCTCAATTCATCAGGGGATGGACTCTACAAGGTGTTGAAAGCGTTCCACAGGGACGCTGGTCCATGTTGGCTCCAATGCTTCCTACAGTTGTGTCAAGTTGGTTGGATGTCCTTTGGGTGGTGGACCATTCTTGATACACAGGGGAAACTGTTGAGCATGAAAAACCCAGCAGTGTTGCAGTTCTTGACACAAAAGCCTGGCACCTACTACCATACCCTGTTCAAAGGGACTTACATTTTTTGTCTTACCCATTCACCCTCTGAATGGCACACATACACAATCCATGTCTCAATTGTCTCAAGGCTTAAACATCTTCTTTAACATGTCTCCTCCCCTTCATCTACACTGATTGAAGTGGATTTAACAAGTGACATCAATAAGGGATCATAGCTTTCACCTGGATTCACCTGGTCAGTCTATTTCATGGAAAGAGCAGGTGTTCCTAATGTTTTGTATACACAGTGTACATTTATTTTGACCTAAAATATTAATGCCAAGAGTGTGCAAAGCTGTCATCAAGGCAAAGGGTGGCTATTTGAAGAATCTCAAATATAAAATATATTTTGATTTGTTTAACACTTTTTTGGTTACTACATGATTCCATATGAGTTATTTCATAGTTTTGATGTCTTCACTATTATTCTACAATGTAAAAAATAGTAAAAATAAAGAAAAACCCTTGAATGAGTAGGTGTGTCCAAACTTTTGACTGGTAGTGTATATGTTGCAGAAAAGCTGTAAAAAAAACAAACGAGATGTGTCCTCCGAAGAGGGGGGGTGGTGGATGGGTTAATACAAATAAAAGAATGCACTGCAGAGTCCCAGTGCACAGAACAGCTGATCGCACCTGTCATGTAGAGTACAATAGCATAGCAGAGGTCATGTACTTGAAACAATGATTGTATAAATTCTAAACTACAGTGTGTATTCATATATTCAAGACCAAGGTCAGGAAGCTACGTGTGCGTCCCAAATGGCACCCTATTGCCTATACAGTGCATTACTTTTGACCAGAGCCCTATGGGCCATGGTCAAAAGCAGTGCACTACATAGGGAATAGGGTGTTATTTGGGACGTAGCCTACATCTCCCACTGCAATGCTATAATGTTATTCACTCTATGGTTTAACAGTTTCTGTGAACCCGAATGGAACTCATGTGATCATGTATTTTGCACCCTTTCCTGTCTGCAGCAATTATCAACGTTAACTCTGATCCACTTTGATAAACGTAAACAGCATCAGAGGTGGTCCTCTGTAGCTCAATTGGTAGAGCATGGCGCTTGTAACGCCAGGGTAGTGGGTTCGATCCCCGGGACCACCCATACGTAAAAATGTATGCACACATGACTGTAAGTCGCTTTGGATAAAAGCGTTTGCTAAATGGCATATTATTATTATTAGGAAGGATTTTTGTATGAATTTCAAATCCTGTTTCAGCCTAGGCACAGATGTACTGTATTTTGGTGGCTCTGGCTGTGGAATGGGCTCTGCTTTGATAAAGCTGTATGCATTGGAAATGGGGCCCTGGGTTAACTCCGATCTCCTTCTGAGGAGCTCCAGCTTCATGCTATATAATATGTATGCCATGTTTTCCCTGCCAATCCAAGAGGACCCTGCACAAAGAGCCCCGGCCATCACTATAGCAACCGCTCTTTCCTCCCACCACCAGCAAAGGGTGAATTTCAGTACTGGAGTCTTATAAGGCTGGTGTCTGAAGAGACAGGCTGGAGAGTGTTCAGGAAAACTCCCTGAGCCTGAGGTCCTCCTGTCCCAACACAAGGCCCAAGTACACCCCTCCTCCTCAAACCCCACCTCATTACTCCTGCATATCCACCCCTCCCCTCACAAACGATTTGGGGTTCAGCCACTGCCATCTGTCTGATTGGGTATGTAATGACTGAAGATCCATTCGATTAGACTCAGAGAATATAGAAACCTTTCACCAGTCCACAGATAAGAAGCACTGAATGGTTCTCCCCTCTGTGTACAGGGATACTAGCGTCCATAGCTCTCTTACTGTACACCTTACACTGGATATCTAACCCCATGCTATTTCCTTATCCTCCTGGTTCTCTCTCTCTCTGTGGTGCTTAGAGGTGAGACGTTGTATACCGTACCTCCTTTTTTAGGCTGGGGGCTGGTACTAGACCCAGGGGTGCCAGGTCTGGCATCTGTCTTGGTGGAGGACTCTGTCTTTGAGGTGGGCTCTGTTTTGGGACAGAACTCTGTGTTTGGGGAGAGGTCTGTTTTGGGACAGGACTCTGTGTTTGGGGAGAGGTCTGTTTTGGGAAAGGACTCTGTGTTTGGGGAGAGGTCTGAAATGTCTGAGTCGTCTGGTGTCAGTAGGTCCTTGATTATCTCCTTGTCTTCATTCTGGATGCGCCGAGGCTCTGGTGTGGATGGGAGACCTGGAACACAGAGATAACGTTCATCAATGAACGGAAGTAGAACACTATGCATAAAGGGTAGAAAAAGAGAGAGAGAGGGGGGGGGGGAGTAGACTAAGAAAAATAAATAGAGAGGGTGGGAGGGAGGGTAGAGAGAGAGAGAGAGGCGGGAGAGAGAGAGAGGGGGCGGGAGAGAGAGAGGGGGCGGGAGAGAGAGAGAGAGGGAGAGAGAGAGGGGGGGGGGGGGGGGGGGGGTGGAGAGAGACTAAAGACAAGCACCATCAACAAATGAAGAGTCTATTCAGCATTGCAGAGAAAAGGCTCAGTCGTAGAGCGCCATTTTGAGGGGAAAAACGGGCCAATTTCAATGCAGGCCTTTTCTGAAAAGGAAAGTGCTGACGTAACATTTAGAATGGCTAATTAATGCTGTGCCAACCACTGCAAAAGCTCTTAAAATGCTAAATATGCTGCTGGGGCAAAAAATATGAAACATATGATTACTCAAGCTCTGTTCTGGAAATTGAACATTATCCCTCTGAGTGGGGGATGCAGTGTTTCTTCTAGGATTTTTTTCAGCAGCCGTAGCAACATTTTGCGTGGGAAGGGGGTGTCCTTTTGCTGGGTGGGTCCGGGGGCATGCACCCCCGTTCGAAAATTTGCCAACATTTCTAAAAACATGTTTTTACTTCGTCATTATGGGTTCTTGTGTGTAGATTGGTGGGGGAAAAATATATTTCATCAATTTTGAATTGAGGCTGTAACACAACAAAATGTGGAATAAGTCAAGGGGTATGAATACTTTCTGAAGGCACTGTACCTCATTAAAAAAAAACGAAAGACTCAATGCATCAAATGCTACAAATATATGTTGCAACTTGTCATTCCAGGTCTTTTTTCTGGAACAAAATGGGGTTTAGGAGGTGGGCGTGGCGGGGGCATGGTAGTGGACGTGGCCTGCCGCTGCTAAATGAATACAGGGGAAACACTGGGATGTATGAGTCGACAGAATGTGACGTGTGCACATTGACCATTGGAATGAAATACCATACCATCAGGCAGATACTTTGCAGTATCACATAACCAGTAGCACTCAAAGTCAAGTTACAGTACATATCATGTCCTCTATAGGATTCACCAATAAAAGCATGATAAAGCATAATCAGGCTTTGCTCTGATCTTCAGTCCTTGGGCCAAGCTTCTTAACCTCTGATCTTTGGAAGAGTGACAGAGAGGTCACAGGAAGACAAAACATATCCTGTGTTAATACCTCATCAGACATTGTTTTTACACTTGGCTCTCCTCTTTACTGTGTGTGCGTCCCAAATGGCACCCTATTCCCTATATAATGCACAACTTTTGACCAGGACCCATAGGGCTCTGGTCAAAAGTAGTGCACTGTGTAGGGATTAGGGTGCCATTTGGGACACAGCCTGAGTCTCTCTCTGTGGGCTGGGCTATTCAGCTGCTGTCTGGGCCTGGCTGTCACACCAACACTGGTGCTCACAGTGACAAACTGCACTACGCCATAATGAAGCATGGCGGAGGAGAGAAAAAGGAGAGAAAGAGGGAGAGAGAGTGGGGGAGGGTGAAGAAAAATTGTACACCTCCACAAAGACCTATGGAGAACAGCGAGGGAGGAGAAGAGAGAGTGAGACAGAGATTGATAGACACAGAGAGGGGGGAGGTTCAGTAGAACAAGGGAGAAGAAAAATTGTGCATCTCTATAATGATTCAAAGGGCAATGAAAGAAAGACAGAGAGACAAAAAATGGAACAGAAGGGGGGAGGGAGAGAGAGAGAGAGAGAGGAAAAGAAAGAGAGACAAAGAAAGAGACGGATATTGTTGTGTGATATAGGTGTAAAGGGATCCAGGCCAGCTTTCTGACTCACATTAAGCTCACAGTGGGCAGATGGAGCGTATCCCTCTCTTCAGACCCATCCAAGGCTGCATCCCAAATGGCAATATATTCCCTGCTCATAGGAATCTGGTCAAAAGTAGTTCACTATATAGGGAATAGGGTGCCATTTGGGACAGAGTACAAACGCTCACCGAACCCCATAAATCACATATTAACACTGGGCCTCTCTCCAGCTGCCTCCATTTACAGTACACACATCCAGCCAGGGATGGCAACACAGTGGCGAAATCATAGCAGGTTAATGAGAGGATAATTAAGAAATAAGGCCTGAGGGGGTGTGGTATATGGCGAATATACCACGGCTAAGGGTTGTTCTTAGTACGACACAACGTGGAGTGCCTGGATACAGCCCTTAGACGTGGTATTTTGGCCATATACCACAAACCCCTGAGGTGCCTTAGTGCTATTATAAACTGGTTACCAACGTAATTAGAAGAGTAAAAAGAAATGTTTTGTCATACACGTGGTATATGGCTTTCAGCCTATCAGCATTCAGAGCTCGAACCACCCAGTTTATACTGTGCATTGAATCAGCTGTCAAGATGACGGAACAACTGCAGGTTTCTGCAAAGAGAATCACTCCACTTGTAACTGCCAGAAAATACAATGTGATTTGGCAAGAATAGGACAATAAATCTTCCCAGACAGTAAACTTGGACTATTTGAACATTACATCACAAGAGACGCAAAATATGACCTAAATGAGAGTGCCATACATTGAGGGGGAAAAGGTGAAGAAACACCCCGCAGTACTACATTGACAGTGTGAAGGACTATCATGAGTTCAACAAGCATATCCAGGTCTGCTGGGTAACTGGGAGGAAAAGGTTCAAGACACCTTCCAGCTATTATGGTGTCATGAGAGAAAGGTGAGAGAGCTCACTTCTGTCTCTGAACTATAAGCCCTCAAGCAACTGGGAAAGACATCAAAAGACAAAAGTTCCAACTTTCCAAACGCTAAAATAGAAGCTATTGTGAACTCTCTGCATAGAAACAGGAACTTAGCCAAAACCACACAACAGAGGGAAAGAGGATGACGGAGTCTGACTTCATCCCAAGTCAAATTTGGGGGTGGTTTTGAAATTGTGCTATGGGGTTATTACAGTAATAAGTATGTATGTGTGGGTGTGGCTTTCTGTTTTCATGTGTGGGCTTTAATGACGTTGAGGGAAGGAACCAAAAGTGGAAGGAGGAGCAGGACAAGAGGGAAGGAGATAACAGAAACAAACACCAAAAGGAACAGACTGTGTGGAAGGAACGTTGTGGAACATTCTGTTAGTAAAACCCTAAAGTTGTTTTCATTAGTGAGTCAATCTGTGAGTCTGGAACGGTTGGCTTGTTTATAGGAAGAGTACAAGCAGGTCCAAAATAGTTTCAGATCATCATATTCATTTAAGTCACTCTCATAATATTGTAACAAAATACTGTACGTTACAATTTCATAGGGACGTAGTCAAACACAATTAATCTTAGTAACTATAAGGAGCTCCGGCTCCATGTCTTAAAGGCCTAATGCAAACATACATACAACATGTGTAGGACTCATCAACTAGGCCTATTCATGTGACAGGCCCCCAATTAACACACAAACACAGATCCGGCAGATTCACCCTCCTCCACCCTCCTCCACCCTCCCCGCTCCATCCATTCCTCCGCTCTGCTCCCCTCTACTAAAGCCGGCAATCTCAGGTTTCTGTGCCACTCTGACAGACACAGGAGTTAAAAATAGTGACGAGCTGCTCAGAGCACAGTGCACCCTACGGAGAATGTGAACCATAAATGGGACTGGGCCTCTGCTGTGGCACCTTTGGAAAATCACAGAGGCTAGAAGCATGCTCTGATGGTAATAATCCAAAAGATAAATAAAGTAAAAAAGGAACGTAAGTAGGTGGAAATTATAAGCAAATTAGAAGGAGAGTGTTAACAAATCCATGTGAGAACTGCTTTATACAGGCAAGGACAAGATCATGGTTGCTACATAAGAAATGTGATCAAGTCAAGAAAAGTCCATTCTGGGTATGTTGCACACTGCATTAGCCTAAGTACTGTAAGCGGAGCTTGCGATGTGGGCTGCGTTTGACAGAGGCAGTGTGTGTGCAGTTTAGGGTCTGTCTGCTGAGGGAGGGAGGGAGGAGCACCAGCATATTGGATCTGGGTCAGGCTGACCTCAGGCATCCCTGGTATGTGCGCTTCCCCTGTGTCTCAGTGTTTGTGTCTCAGTGTGCGTCTACAGTGTTTGTGGATGGATGGCAACATGGTAAGAGCGACAGTGACCCCCCAGTGAGGAGAGAGAGAGAGAGAGAGAGAGAGAGAGAGTGAGAGAGAGAGAGAGAGAGAGAGAGAGAGAGAGAGAGAGAGAGAAATAAACACTATATCAATAATAACTCAACCGGGACAAGAGACAACATGGCTCCAATGAGGCCTACATTCAACAGTCTTTCTTCTACAATCACTTTCCCAGCTCCATCAGTAGCAGACAGTCTCTGACCACTATAGAATCAAGTAAACCAGAAGGTCAGGGAGTCCAGTCATTCACACAGCAACCTGTGCAATAAACATCCCCTCTGGGCCCATCCATGACTCTCAGACTTCAATAACACCTTAAGCATCTTAGAACTCCCTCACAAGCATCTACAATGGGAACGGAGCAATAAAACAAACATTGTCTGAACCTTTGAACTTTTATAATCATCACCCAGCCACCTCAGTAGCTATTTAAAGATGCCACCAGATGGTCAGTCCTTGCATCCATAGCTCTGTCTATGAATTTGAGAGAGGTTACATTTCTCCAACCCCATCCCTCAGCTGTTTATCAAAACAGTGGCGGGGTATCCACTTGGTTGTTGTTTGAACTGCAGACTGCCCCTGTAGAGAGGCCACCAGATGAACACAGCCACAGCAGTCCTAGAGAGACCAGAAAGACCAACAACAGCTACGAATCACTGTCTCTCTGGGAAAAGCACTACTTTTAGTTTAGTTCAATGAAAGGGCATTTTCAGAAAATATTTTCATTCTAAAGCAGTCTTTTAATTACAGGGCACTTGCTCTCAAAGCTATGCTCGCTATGTGCAGCGCTCCACAATCTTTAATACATTTCTGCCTTCATTAAGTTTCAACTAACTTCTGTGGTGCTGATGCAGCATTTAGGCTAACTCAGACATTTGGACTATGTTAAAACAGTAATGAGAAGAAATGAAAATAATGTTTTTCACAGAGTTCATTCTGCTGTATAGCTTCTTTCAATAGCCATATGTCTGTCTATGGGACAGCCTAGAGGCTGAGCACACAAGGCTAGCCTTCTCATTATGTTACAGGGCCTAGGCTACTGCTAAAGTGCTGTAATCCAGGTGTCTTTACTGACAATCATGGCTAATGGCTCCTCCAGCGAGCTTCGTTTTGGTATCATCACATGACCTATATCAGAGCTGGAGATGCTGCTGTGGGACCAACACTTTACATCAATATGGAATATGGAAGCCCAATATGGAATACCCCCATCCATCCCATCCATCCCATTCATCCCCTGCCATTAAAAGAGTCAGAGAGCCAGAGCAGTTATAGGGACTTGTGTGAGGGAATCAGCTGAATGCTAAGGTTAGACTGCCTGCCATGGATCTCTACTGATGGTAGGAAACTCCTCATCCCCATCCCCTGCCATTAAGAGCCAGGGAGGTTACAGAGACTGATGTGAGTGCTAAGGTTAGAATAGACTGCCTGCCATGGATCTCTATCTAGAGGGAATGGATACGAAGGCAACTATAAGATGAAACTGTAGACGACAGCTGGCTAGAGAACGTGACTCGTCAGTCCTCCTGTGGAACGAACAAGGGCAATCTGACTCCAACTCCGCTGAGGCTTTTAGTCAGCATGAACTGGGTTACACAGTCACACAGACAGACAATATAGAGAAAAGCATGAATCATAAATGGAATCATCAATGATTCAACATTTTCCTGCTCTGCATTCACCAGATGAAGTATGATTAGAATAAAAGTTATGGAAGATAGAGAACAGAGGTGAGGCGTTAAGATGGATGGAGCAGAAGGAACCTTTTACAGGATGCTGCCATGGGGTGTAGACAGGGGCTCCATCCCAAATGGCACCCTATTCCCTTTATAGTGCACTACTTTTGATCAGGGCTGGTCAAAAGTAGTGCACTATGTATGGAATAGGGGGCCATTTGGGAGGCAGCCAGTGAGAAAATAGACTGGGTGTGGTGACTGTAGAGGAGCCATGGAGGCTGACAGACCATGACCTCATCATTATGTCACACATCCTCCATAGATGGGATGTCATTAGTGCAGTGCATGATGGGAATGAAAACAAGGGTTGCTGCATGAACATAATACTAGAGAGAGATACGAATTCAAGAGAGAAATATGGGACTTTGAGTGTGTTTGGAGAGAGAGAGAGAGAGAGAGAGAGAGAGAGAGAGAGAGAGAGAGAGAGAGAGAGAGAGAGAGAGAGAGAGAGAGAGAGAGAGAGAGAGAGAGAGAGAGAAGAGAGAGAGAGAGAGGAGAGAGAGAGAGAGAGAGAGAGAGAGAGAGAGATACTGAAGTGTATATTTTGAAGAGTTTATTCAGTTCCTGCTGACATGCTATCAGGTCATGGGGCACATTCCAGAGCAGTTGCTCCAGCTAGCTCCTATTTGTTTTCATATAAACAACATTAGCCTTATTATAAATGAGCGTGCTAAAGCAGATCTGGGCCCTGCCTGAAATGCATCAGCATGGCTTCTTCCCTACTGACACAAAACACACACACACACACACATCCACAACACATATACACACACACATCCACAATACATATACACACACACAGCACAAAGACCAAACTGCAGGAGGAGAAGGGGGGGAACATCTGGACTGGTGGGGTTCAGTCCTGCAGAATCAGCAACATACATAGAGTAAAGCCTCCACACATTCTCATACCAACACTTCCTTGATCCGCCTGGGAGCCCTCACTCACCGCAGGTGTGTGTGTGTTTGTGTGTGTGTGTGTTTGTGTGCGCACGTGTGTGTGTGTGTGTGCGTGTGCGCATGCGTGTGTGTGTGTGAATAAAAGCAGGAGAACTTTGCTGTGCGCCATACCAAGTATAGTATATCATGTGAGGTAAAAAGCTGTGATTCATGTGTATACTGTACAATATGCTATACATGTGACACTATGCAGGCACATATGCCATAGCTTATCACAGCCCATTTCACAGTCAGGACTAATAGAACATGCCATGTGAGAAGCACATCCCTAGACAATGAGAAACATTGGTTGTCTAGTGCCACTGCCTCCGGATTACATCATATACCGCTGCAGCATGGGTTCGAATCGGCACACTCTCTCCTCTATCTTTCATCTCTGTCCTGTCCAATAAACAAAAATATGTGAGGAGTGGTACTGTCCCACTCCTTCGAAAATAAACATTGCCTTAGGTCTTCTAAACACAGTCAATATACAGTGGACCTGCTTCATAGAGACTAGCTACAGCTGATACTCCCTAGAGTAATGCAATCAACGCTGTTGTGTTTTTGGACTCATTAAGTAGGTCATACTGTAGCGAACAGAGAGCAGCGCTAGCTAGCTAGCAGAGTGATGGTGACTTGGCAGAGTGTGGAGGGTGAAAGATGATGGGACATGTTTAATGGTATCAAGTGAGGCCATATTGGGCCAGGCCAGCAGGGCAAGCCAGTCTCACTGCTCAACATGGCTGTCTGTCTGATCACACAGTGTTGTCTCATCCTAACTAGGGAGCGAAGTATGATTAAATCAGTGTTCCATCTTTTATGCCAAAAAGAGGTGATATTCAACATAGTAAAAACAGCCAAGGGAAGCCTTTTAATATATTAAAACAGACCACTGAGATGTAATATTAAACATCAGACAGATACTCAATACTAATGATTTCAATAAGATGAGAGGCCCCAAGTTGAGAATTGACATTCAATCAATTCAAATGGGAAATTCCGCTCAACATCCTTTTAACTGTGTGTGTGTGTGAGTGTGTGTGTGTGTGTGACTGTGTGTGTATGTGTGTGCTTGTGCATGTGCAAGTGTGTTTAAAACCATAACTATGTTGAATTGACAAGACTGTTAGGCATATGAAGATCAGCACACGCCTGAGGGGAAGGTGAGACAGGGGTCAACAGTCGACACAACCCAACACAACACAGCAGAGCCCATATGATTCACTGCAGAGATGATCAGATCTAACAGATACTGTATCTCTGCAGGACAGACAGAGGAGGACAAAGGAGGCCGCATAAGGTGGCTGGTGAGTGTTTGTACCGTTTTCCTGGAACACAGACAGGAGGTGACCTTGTTCCCTAGGCTGCCAGGGAAAATGAGTACCAGGAAGGAAAGAGACAAAGGCTTTGCATCCCAAATGGCACACTATTCCCTATGTAGTGCACTATATAGGGAATGGAATAGGGTGCCATTTGGGACGCAATCAAAACCACAGCGACACAGGAGGCTAACCTAGCAGTCATAGTAAAATCATTGTAATGGAGGAAGCATCGTGGCATCATTAAGAGACTGAAGAGGGAATCGATTGACTTATGGAATGGAACGGAAGGAGGCCATGTTGCAGTAGCTCTCTGTATCAGTGCTGCAGCCTGCCTGCTATTCTGTTGTGATTGAGGAGAGAAGAACATGTTATCTATAGTAAGTGGGGTTTCTTTCATTATCAGGAAGGAGGAAAAAAATAAATGTAGGGGAAGAAAAGTACATTCAAGGGTCAAAGTGACATTAATTATAAACAAGACAACAGTAAACATGTTGTCCCCCACGAATGATGCCTTGGGCCAATTGAGATAACACATTCAAGTTAATTACTGTAGTAATTTTGTAAATGCCGGATCTCTATTGCAAGACGCATCATTCACCCAAGTTTCATCAAAATCGGGCCAGTGCTGTCTGAGATATCGCGTGTGACTAACATACTAAAGGACGGAGACAGATCCACAGTCCCCTCCCCGATTTCATCGTGGGGGACAACAACTGACACTACACAGTCACGGGTGGATGTTATGGGCAGGTTATAGGTCAAGATAACTATCAAGACAAACGATCCTCACCCTGTGTCGTCTAGTCCTGATGGGAATAGAGCTGTAGACATACAGTCTGTTAGACCTAAACCTAGCCCTTCAGCTGTGACCTAATATTAGTGTCCTGAGTCCTGTGACCAAGAGCGGTGTGTGTGTGTGTGTGCATGTGTGTGTGCTTTAAATGAGACACAGATAATGGTCTGGGGGTGGATAGCCTAAATCTGGAGTTCATGTGCACACTTCCAAAACACACACACACCTTCCTTCAAAGCCAATAGAAGCTGCAGCTCCTGGTGACTCCACTGGGGCTGAGGCAACAATACTTCAACAATAACCACCACAGAGAAATGCAACATGGCTACAGAGGAGCAGGACAACAGGAAGAGGTATTCTGGTTCACAGCTGGAGAGCACTTCCACAGAGCAACACTACAAAGCTCTAATAAGACTGTGTGGGCCATATATGGAATGGGGTAAAAAAGACAATTAACTTGCGTAGAACTGAAAAAAGATGTGTCATATTCCTGTATTTCACTCTTATTTATGCATATATCAGTAGCTGTGTTAAACATTACAGAAAATGGACTGCTTGTTGTAACAAAGACTATTCACGTTTAATGCGAGGTCGATAGACGCCATCCTACCAGCGTGCACAGCAAGAAATTAAGTAATTAACACATAAGATGGTTGTGCCTCTGGTTGTGGTATAAAAGCTAGTCATTAGGGACTTCAGTAACGAACAGTGTCAACAGGTTCTATATCGCCTTACTTCCTGGATCTACATCTAAATGCAGAATCCATGTAGAAGAGGATTGGTTATTCCACCAATATAGTGCCTGTCATAAAGAGCACATGTTCAACTTCATAAAATATATATTTTCTAGAGAATGATTAGATTAAATAAAACTAGGTCAGATTGAACACTGTTGTATCAAAAGTAAAACAGAGGGCCAGAAACACAAGGACAAAATTGGGAATTATGAAACTAACTAACTAATATATTCAATAACTAGGCCTACAGTATGTTTGTACAGTAGCTAAAGTTAAAGCCTGCAAATTAAACACTGTACTGTGTATTTAACAACACTAATTAGTGAGGAATCTGCATAGATAAGCAAGGAGACACAATTTAAAAGCAAATTCACATGATAAGCATGGAGTAGATCAAATGCATTTTCTTGTTAAGCATTGTCTTACCATCTTAATTATTCAAATTGTGACCCCCTTTTTCCTGCTACCTCGGATTACACACACCCTGTTATTAACTATAAATACATTTACTTTAAATCAAAATCTGTTACAGTTTTCTGTTTAAAAACTGAATTGAACAAACACACCTTCATCTGTTAAAATCGACCAAATGTATGCCTTTTGTAGCTTAGATACATAACCAATCAAAAAGTGCAATCAGGGTAATGAGATATTTTGTCATAGAATTCCATTGTTTCTCCCTTCCTGTACAGTGGAAACACATGAGAAATTGTAGAATTTCTTGCCACAGTAAAATTGATCTCTGTAGAAAATGTGAGAGGACTACAGACATGAATTAGGTTCACAGTCACACATTCGTCAATAAGGCAATAATAATTTAAAACAGAGTCTTAGATGAGTCATCAATGACCAGTGTTTTACAATCGGAACGGAGTGGAATGGGATGGAAACGTGAGCCAGTCTCTGGATCTAGGATCTAGTATACTAAGTTTGCATCCCAAAAAGCACCACATTCCCTACATAGTGCACTACTTTGGTCTAGGGTGGTCTAGACCAGGGCCCATAGGCCATTTGGGACGCACCCTAAGGCGATAGCCTCGTCCGCCTCTAGACCCTACAGGATGGAGCACTTCCTCTAGTTCCTGTGTGAGTGGTCAGTGGCCCTGATTTATACCAGCTGGATCTGCACGCGGCGAGGTACGGCTCTGTGTGTGTGTGTGTGTGTGTGTGTGTGTGTGTGTGAGGCTGCTCCTGCTCGCTGACGTGGAGCGCTCTGTTTGGTCTGCCTGAAAATCACTGCAGACACCTCCCTCCCTCCGACGACCACGGCCTAGCTAACACCACAATAACACCCCTCGCTACCCTCCTAACCCCTCACTCCCCCCTGCTCGCACGCTGCAGATACGGGCCTCTGGAAAAGAATGCCTCACATTCTAACCAGGCCCTTCCACACCCATCCCAACCCCTACTCTCTTCTCTCCACCCGCATGTACAAACTGAACACACAGTCCAGCTGGCAATAGGGGAGAGACATTAGGAAAAGCTGTCAGAACTTCAACATGTCTGACTAAGGAGAAATGGGAGAAGGTGCTTTCCTTTTTTCTATTCTCACTCAGTCCCCCTTCTATTTCTGCCCCTCCTTTAGCAGGAAATCTTATGAAGTCCAAGGAATAAGTACAGAGTAATCACAGCTGTCACGACCTCCTCCGAAGCTGCCTCCTCTCCTTGTTCGGGCAGGCTTCAAAGTTCAAAGTCCTGAGGAGGATCAACAAGGTTACCTATAGGTTATTACTCCCCCATGATTATCGTATTAACCCCTCGTTTCATGTGACTCTCCTCAGGCCGGTGGTGGCTGGTCCGCTCCAGGAGTCTGAGGTGTGGGAGGTCCCTCCGCCTCCTCTGGACATCGAGGGGGCCCCGGCGTACTCTGTCCGTTCCATCCTGGTTTCGAGGCGTCGGGTTGGGGAACTTCAGTACCTCGTGGAGTGGGAGGGGTACGATCCGGAGGAACGGTGCTGCGCGTCAAGGGGGGGGGGGGGGTACTGTCATCGACTTCCTCCGAAGCTGCCTCCTCTCCTTGTTCGGGCAGGCTATGGCGTTCGTCGTCACCGGCCTTCTAGCCAATGCCGCTCCTCATCTCATCATTCCATTTGTTTTGTCTTGTCTATTACACACACCTGGTTCATATCCCCTCATCAGTACCTGTATAAGTGTTCCCTCTGCCCCCCTTGTCCTTGTGGGTGATTGTTTATTGTGAGGTGTATTCTGTGATTTACCCTCCTGCGCCTGACTCCTTCAAATCACGCATCACAACAGCAGTTTATCCAGGATGTGAGCCTCATTATGTTTATTCATCACACATGATGACAAAGAAGTAACCTGTTTTTCAACTGTTTTTAATGAGAGAGAATGGGGAAACTTCTGTGGAGAGGGATCGTGCTGGGCCCAAAATCTACAATTGCATCCCAAATGGCACCCTATTCCCTATAGTGCACTACTTTTGACAGGGGCCCATAGGGCTCTGATCAAAAGTAGTGCACAATATAGGGGATAGGGTGCCATTTGGGATGCAATCTACACTTCCAAGCGTACTGTAATCTTGAATGTGGGCCAGGAACATTACATTAGGAAAACTTTGGGATAGTGGAAGAGCGTCCACGTCAGTCCACGTCCAATGATTACTTCCACAGAAGAAGAACACTTTTAGCTCTATACAAAATCTCCAGTTTAAAGCTGATTTGCAACCAAGAAGTTAAACCTAGGGCTAGATTCCATCCGTATTGCTGAAGATCAGCGTTGTAGCACGGGGGACTTTTCGATTGAGCCGACATATGTTTACCATTTACCATGAACACAGTCTCCGCGGAAACATTGCCTTTAAATTTAAATCACGCTACAACGCTGATCTTCAGCACTACGGATTGAATCCAGACCCTAGTTCTTCTGAAGTTAAAGGATAAAATCAAATCAAATGTTATTTGTCACATGCGCCGAATACAACAGGTGTAGACCTTACATTGCAATGCTTACTTACAAGCCCTTAACCAACAATGCAGTTTTAAGAAAGAATACCAAAAACAAATAAAAATAAAAATAAAAATTATAATAAGAAGAAATAAAAGTAACAAATAATTAAAGAGCAGCAGTAAAATAACAATAGCGAGGCTATATACAGGGGGTACCGGTACCGAGTCAATGTGCGGGGGCACTGGTTAGTCGAGGTAATTGAGGTAATATGTACATGTAGGTAGAGTTATTAAAGTGACTATGCATAGATAATAAACAGAGAGTAGCAGCAGCGTAAAAGAGGGGGGCAATGCAAATAGTCTGGGTACTGGATTAGATGTTCAGGAGTCTGGATTAGATGTTCAGGAGTCTTATGGCTTGGGGGTAGAAGCTGTTTAGAAGCCTCTTGGACCTAGACTTGGCACTCCGGTACCGCTTGCCATGTGGTATTAGAGAGAACAGTCTATGACTAGGGTGGCTGGAGTCTTCTACCATTTTTAGGGCCTTCCTCTGACACCGCCTGGTATAGAGGTCCTGGATGGCAGGAAGATTGGCCCCAGTGATGTACTGGGCCGTACGCACTACCCTCTGTAGTGCCTTGCGGTCGGAGGCCGAGCAGTTGCCATACCAGGCAGTGATGCAACCAGTCAGGATGCTCTCGATGGTGCAGCTATAGAACCTTTTGAGGATCTGAGGACCCATGCCAAATCTTTTCAGTCTCCTTAGGGGGATTATATTTTGTTGTGCCCTCTTCACGACTGTCTTGGTGTGCTTGGACCATGTTAGTTTGTTGGTGATGTGGACACCAAGGAACTTGAAGCTCTCAACCTGCTCCACTACAGCCCCGTCGATGAGAATGGGGGCGTGCTCGGTCCTCTTATTTTTCCTGTAGTCCACAATCATCTCCTTTGTCTTGATCACGTTGAGGGAGAGATTGTTGTCCTGGCACCACACGGCCAGGTTTCTGACCTCCTCCCTATAGGCTGTCTCGTCGTTGTCGGTGATCAGGCCTACCACTGTTGTGTCATCGGCAAACTTAATGATAGTGTTGGAGTCGTGCCTGGCCATGCAGTCATGAGTGAACAGGGAGTACAGGAGGGGACTGAGCACGCACCCCTGAGGGGCCTCCGTGTTGAGGATCAGCGTGGCGGATGTGTTGTTACCTACCCTTACCACCTGGGGGCGGCCCGTCGGGAAGTCCAGGATCCAGTTGCAGAGGGAGGTGTTTAGTCCCAGGGTCCTTAGCTTAGTGATGAGCTTTGAGGGCTGAGCTGTAGTCAATTAATAGCATTCTTACATAGGTGTTCCTTTGTCCAGGTGTGAAAGGGCAGTGTGGAGCGCAATAGAGATTGCATCATCTGTGGATCTGTTGGGGTGGTATGCAAATTGGAGTGGGTCTAGGGTTTCTGGGATAATGGTGTTGATGTGAGCCATGACCAGCCTTTCAAAGCACTTCATGGCTACAGAAGTGAGTGCTACGGCTCGGTAGTCATTTAAGCAGGTTACCTTAGTGTTCTTGGGCACAGGGACTATGGTGGTCTGCTTGAAACATGTTGGTATTACAGACTCAAGACAGGGAGAGGTTGAAAATGTCAGTGAAGACACTTGCCAGTTGGTCAGCGCATGCTCGGAGTACACGTCCTGGTAATCTGTCTGGCCCTGCGGCCTTGTGATTGTTGACCTGTTTAAAGGTCTTACTCACATCGGCTCCGGAGAGCGTGATCACACAGCCGTCCGGAACAGCTGATGCTCTCATAAATGTTTCAGTGTTACTTGCCTCGAAGCGAGCATATAAGTAATTTAGCTTGTCTGGTAGGCTTGTGTCACTGGGCAGCCTGCATGATTTTACATTTTAGTAGGTCCCTATATGGCATGAAGCACACTTACAAACAATTGCAGTGTACTACCAGCCCTCAAGATAATATAGAGAACCACACAAGTTCAAACACTTTCTGTCTGCCTTAAACAAAAAGAAACGGGTGCCTCACTTCCTTTTGTATGCTGCAAACAGAGCTCCTTTGAACATGTTATATCTTGGAGAGGGGCTTGGTCTCTTAGCTGCCTCATCAACTAAAAAGCCACTAATGTTGCTCTACAACAGGACTCTGGTGCTTGTCTCTCTGTCTCTGTCTTTGTGCCATATGGTCCCGCTAGCCCTAGCAGCTTCACACTTCAACCCTAAAGTGTCCAGTCTACATGGCATCATGGGTGCATCCCAAATGCCACCCTATTCCCAAAATAGTGCACTATTTTAACCAGAGCCCTATGAGCCCAGGTCAAAAAGTAGTGCACTATGTAGGGAATAGGGTACAATGTGGGATGCATCCCATGTCACTGGTTTCAAGGGGCATGAGAGGTGACAGAGGGTCAATGGGGGAGTCTAACTGTATTAGGCCTCAGCCAGCGCTCTGCTAGACGTTCTACCAGCCTCACCTCTGTCTAAATGCATCACATTACAACACAAAGATCTGGGATTAGAATTCCTTTTCATAGACCAGGCCAGGCGTGTGAGTCTGTAGGAGAAAAACAAACCTTTACAAGGCAGAGTCTGTCTTCAGAGGAGTCAGATAGAAGGAATGTGTCTGTTTATTTAACATCTCTGCCTGTCCGACACGGACATTCCTGATAACGTCATACCGACCAATCAACACTGTGTATAAACTGACGGTACCGAGCCCACTTCAGTATCGTTGAAAAATCTCCAGAACCACCTCACAGTAACTGTATTTAGTGTCTGTCTGTCTGTTTCCATTTTGAAACCTTTTCTATGGGAAAGGTAAACTGTCATAAAGGCATAGAAACAGGGTTCTCCTGTTCTGGTGATGGGGTAAAATCAGACACCAGCCACAGGAGAAGTGTAACACTTCAGACCCGAAAAAATCTGGTACATGATGACAATGCAAACCCACTTCTCGTGTATCCCAGTATCTGCAAGTATTGGCCATAGTGCTAACCAGTCCTCCCACACAAACTGTGGATGTACAATGTACTGCTCTACATGACCTTCTACACTGAACAAAAATATAAAGTAAAGTAAAATGTAAAGTGTTGGTCCCATGTTTCATGAGCTGAAATATAAGATCCCAACATTTTCCATACGCACAAAAAAATAATTTCTCTCAACATTTGTGCACAAATCTGTTAACATCCCTGTTAGATGAGCATTTCTCCTTTTCCAAAATAATCCATCCACCTGACTGGTATAGCATATCAAGAAGCTGATTCAACTGCATGATCATTACACAGGTACACCTTGTTCTGGGGACAATAAAAGGCCACTCTAAAATGTGCAGTTTTGTTACACAACACAACGCCACAGATGTCTCAAGTTTTGAGGGCGCGTGCAATTGGCATGCTGATCGCAGGAATGTCCACCAGAGCTGTTGCCAGAGAATTTTATGTTTATTTCTCTACCATAAGCTGTCTCCAACGTCGTTTTATAGAATTTGGCAGTACATCCAACCGGCCTCACAACTGCAGACCACGTATATGGCGTCGTGTGGGCGAGCAGTTTGCTGATGTCAACATTGTGAACAGAGCGCCCATGGTGGCGGTGGGGTTATGGTATGGGCAGGCATAAGCTACAGACAACAAACACAATTTCATTTTATCCATGGCAATTTGAATGCACAGAGATACTGTGACGAGATCCTGAGGCCCATTGTCATGCCATTCATCCACCGCCATCACCTCATGTTTCAGCATGATAATGCACTGCCCCATGTCGCAAGGATCTGTACACAATTCCTGGAAGCTGAAAATGTCCCAGTTCTTCCATGGCCTGCATTCTCACCACACATGTCACCCACTGAGCATGTTTGGGATGCTCTAAATCGACGTGTACGACAGCATGTTCCATTTCCCGCCAATATCCAGCAACTTCGCACAGCCTTTGAAGAGCAGTGGGACAACATTCCACAATCAACAGCCTGATCAACTCTATGTGAAGGAGATGTGTCGCGCTGCATGAGGAAAATGGTGGTCACACCAGATACTGACTGGTTTTCTGATTCACTTTTTTTTTAAAGGTATCTGTGACCAAAATATGCATATTTGTATTACCAGTCATGTGAAATCCATAGATTAGGGCCTAATGAATTTATTTCAATAGACTGATTTCCTTATATGAACTGTAACACAGTAAAATCTTTGAAATTGTTGCATGTTGCTTCTATATTTTTGTTCGGTATAATATTACTAGGGCGGCAGGTAGCCTAGCAGTTAAGAGCGTTGGGCCAGTAACCGTAAGGTCGCTGGTTTGAATCCCCGAGCCGACTAGGTGCAAAATCTGTCGATATGCCTTTGAGCAAGGCTCTTAACCCTATGATATAGTGGCTATTGCCACTGTGATGTATAGGCCTAAGGCCTAGACAATAACAAGACACAGTGGCAGAATAAATTCAACCACACCTTTGTTTCATCACAAAACCGGAGAGCAACATCTGTCCGGTGGAGTCCACAAAGCATATTGCATGACCTACAGCATCGTCAGTCAAGTTAATATTTTCGGACTACTAAACAACTATTGATTTAGAACACCGGAGAGCTACCACAAGTCTAGAATTGCCTCCACTTTTCCAGCACCATTTCAACTTTAACATTTCAACATCATCAAATCACCTATGCTTAGTCTAATACAGTGACAACTAAAAGATACCAAAAACAATTTAGTCCAATCAACGTAAGTTAAATATGATGTGGCTGTCCATGGTACTGATTTCTGTGTGTGTGTGTGTGTGTGTGTGTGTGTAAGTAGAAAAAACGTGTTGACTCACCCTACTTCTAGAGAAATGTCAATGCCATCCTCCTCTCTTTCATGTTGCTCAAACGGTCTATGACTCTGTCATACATGTACTGTAGTAGCTACAAGCTTTTAGTTTTTGTTGTCCTAGGCTACCTGGCTAAAATGCTTGCGCGCTAGCCTAACTTCCTTTCATGGGTAACGATGCGCCAGCTAGTTAACGTTAGCCTCTGTCAGAGTGCGACGGAGAAATGCGGTAGGCGAAGTCTAACGCAGGACACAGAGCTTACTGGAAACGTACTTTACTCGAAAGTAACCAGAATAGAAAAACAATCTCCACATAAGGAGGATTAAACAACCCGCACACGAAACAATGCCGATTACGAATACAATAACACACAACACACAATGAACGACAGAGGGTTAAATAGGGAATACAATACAACATAATGGGGAACAGGTGTACACAATCAGGACAAAACAAGTCAAACACCGAAACATAGATCGGTGGCAGCTAGTACTCCGGGGACGACGAACGCCGAAGCCTGCCCGAGCAAGGAGGAGGAGCAGCCTCGGCTGATTCCGTGACAGTACCCCCCCCTTGACGGTGCGCCGACCCCGGCTTCGGGGACGGCCAGGAGGACGCGGAGCAGGGCGAGTCGGATGACTCCGGTGGAAGTCCCTCAACATGGAGGGATCTAGAATGTCCCTCCTGGGGACCCAGCACCGTTCCTCCGGACCGTACCCCTCCCACTCCACGAGATACTGCAGGCCCCCCGTCCGACGCCTCGAATCCAAGATGGAACGGACTGAGTACGCCGGAGCCCCCTCGATGTCCAATGGGGGGGGAGGAGCCTCTCGTACCTCACTCTCCTGGAGTGGACCAGCCACCACCGGCCTGAGGAGAGACACATGGAATGAGGGGTTAATGAGGTAATTAATGGGCAGTTGTAACCTATAACATACCTCGTTCAATCTCCTCAGGACTATAAAGGGCCCCACAAACCGCCGACCCAGCTTCCGGCAGGGCAGGCGAAGGGGCAGGTTTCGGGTCGAGAGCCAGACCCGGTCTCCCGGTGCATACACCGGAGCCTCACTGCGGTGGCGATCGGCGCTCGCCTTTTGCCGCCTGATGGCCCGCTGCAGATGGACATGCGCAGCGTTCCAAGTTTCTTCCGACCGCCGAAACCACTCGTCCACTGCAGGGGCTTCGGTCTGGCTCTGATGCCAAGGTGCCAGAACCGGCTGATAACCTAACACACACTGGAAAGGCGTAAGGTTAGTGGACGAATGGCGGAGGGAGTTTTGGGCTATCTCTGCCCAGGGAATATATCCCGACCACTCCTCTTGCCGGTCCTGGCAATATGACCTCAGAAACCTACCCACATCCTGGTTAACTCTCTCCACCTGCCCATTACTCTCGGGGTGAAAACCTGAGGTAAGGCTAATCGAGACCCCCAGACGTTCCATAAATGCCCTCCAGACTCTAGAGGTGAACTGGGGACCCCGATCAGACACTATATCCTCAGGCACCCCATAGTGCCGGAAGACGTGTGTAAACAGGGCCTCAGCAGTTTGTAGGGCAGTAGGGAGACCTGGCAGGGGAATGAGACGGCAGGCTTTAGAAAACCGATCCACAACGACCAAGATCGTAGTGTTCCCCTGGGAGGGGGGAAGGTCCGTGACAAAATCCACCGATAGGTGAGACCACGGCCGTTGTGGAACGGGTAGGGGTTGTAACTTCCCCCTGGGCAGGTGTACACTAGGCGCACACCGAGCAGGAGGAAACATAAACCCTCACGTCCTTAGCTAAGGTTGGCCACCAGTACTTCTCACTAAGGCAGTGCACTGTCCGACCAATACCCGGATGACCAGAGGAGGGTGACGTGTGAGCCCAGTATTTCAAACGATCGCGAACCTCGAGCGGCACGTACCTCCGACCCTCTGGACACTGTGGAGGAGTAGGGTCGGAACGTAACGCCCGCTCGATTTCCGCATCCACCTCCCACACCACCGGTGCCACTAAACAAGACTCCGGGAGTATGGGAGTGGGCTCAATGGACCTCTCCTCTGTGTCATATAGTCGGGACAGGGCGTCTGCCTTAGCGTTCTGGGACCCTGGTCTATAGGTGAGCTTAAATACAAAGCGGGAAAGAAACATTGACCACCTTGCCTGGCGAGGATTCAGCCTCCTCGCTGCCCGGATGTACTCCAGGTTACGATGGTCAGTCAGAATGAGAAAAGGGTGTTTAGCCCCCTCAAGCCAATGTCTCCACACTTTCAGGGCTTGAACCACAGCCAGCAGCTCCCTATCCCCCACGTCATAATTGCGCTCCGCCGGACTGAGCTTCTTAGAATAGAAAGCACAGGGGCGGAGTTTAGGTGGCGTACCCGAGCGCTGAGACAGCACAGCGCCGATCCCAGCCTCGGAAGCGTCCACCTCCACCTGGAATGACAAAGAGGGATCCGGATGCGCCAGCACCGGAGCCGAGGTAAACAGGTCCTTCAGACGTTTAAACGCCCTGTCCGCCTCAGCTGACCACTGCAGGCGCACCGGACCCCCCTTTAGCAGAGAGGTAATACCTGTCCAAAGCCCCGGATAAACCTCCGGTAGTAATTGGCAAAACCCAAGAAGCGCTGCACCTCCTTTACCGTGGTGGGAGTCTGCCAATTACGCACGGCAGAAACGCGGTCAATCTCCATCTCTACCCCTGACGCGGACAACCGATGTCCCAGGAAGGAGATGGACTCCTGGAAGAACAGACATTTCTCCGCCTTCGCATACAGGTCATGCTCCAACAGTCTACCAAGCACTCGACGCACCAGGGACACATGCTCGGCTCGTGTAGCGGAGTATATTAGAATGTCATCAATATATACCACAACACCCTGTCCATGCAAGTCCCGGAAAATCTCGTCCACAAATGATTGGAAGACTGAAGGAGCATTCATTAACCCGTATGGCATGACGAGGTACTCATAGTGACCCGAGGTGGTACTGAATGCTGTCTTCCACTCATCTCCCTCCCTAATGCGCACCAGGTTGTACGCGCTCCTGAGATCCAATTTTGTGAAGAATCGCGCCCCGTGTAATGACTCCGTCATACTAGCAATCAGAGGGAGAGGATAGCTGTATTTGATGGTGATCTGATTTAGACCACGGTAATCAATACACAGGCGTAAACCCCCATCCTTCTTCTTCACAAAAAAGAAACTCGAGGACGCAGGGGAAGTAGACGGCCGTATGTAACCCTGTCTCAAAGATTCGGTGACGTAGGTCTCCATAGCGGCCGTCTCCTCCTGAGACAGAGGATACACGTGACTACGTGGAAGCGCAGCGCCTACCTGGAGGTCTATCGCACAATCCCCCTGTCGATGAGGTGGTAATTGAGTCGCCTTTTTCTTACTGAAGGCGAGAGCCAAATCGGCATTCTCAGGTGGAATGTGCAAGGTGGGAACTTGGTTCGGGCTCTCCACCGTCGTTGCCCCTACGGAAACGCCTACACACCGCCCAGTACACTGATCAGACCATCCCTGGAGAGCTCTCTGCTGCCATGAAATGTTGGGGTCATGAGATGTTAACCAGGGAAGCCCCAACACCACGGGAAACGCAGGAGAATCAATCAAATACAAACGTACTATCTCCTCATGACCCTCCTGCGTTTTCATCCGGAGAGGCGCCGTGACCTCCCTAATCAATCCTGACCCCAACGGGCGGCTATCTAGGGCATGAATGGGGAAGGGCACATCAACAGGTACAATAGGAATCCCTAACTTATAGGTGAACTGGCGATCGATAAAATTCCCAGCTGCGCCTGAATCTACTAGCCCCTTATGCTGGGAGTGAGGAGAAACCTCGGGAAACACCACTTTAATACACATATGATCAGCAGAGAGCTCTGGGTGAGTTGGGTGCCTACTCACCTGGAATGACTCATCAGTGCGCCGCCCACTGCCTCGATTCCTAGGAGACCCTCCCCAGCACCGACCAGCAGTGTGTCCTCTGCGGCCACAGTTGGTGCAGGGGACGGCCTCCCTCCTGGTCTCCCTCCTGGTCTCCCTAGCACCAGCACCCCCGAGCTCCATAGGGTTCGGGTCGGAAGTGCTGGGGGATGGAATGGACGGCCCCGAATCCGGACGTCCGTGGGTAGCCAACAGGGTATCCAGGCGAATCGACATGTCCACCAGTTGATCAAAGCTGAGGTTGGTGTCCCTGCAGGCCAATTCCCGACGCACGTCCTCCCTCAGGCTGCATCTGTAGTGGTTGATGAGGGCCCTCTCATTCCATCCCGTGTTGGCAGCTAGCGTCCGGAAGTCCAGCGCGAACTCCTGCGCGCTCCTCCTCCCCTGTCTAAGGTGGAATAGACGCTCACCCGCCGCTTTACCCTCTGGGGGATGATCGAATACTGCCCGGAAGCGGCGGGTGAACTCCGCATAGCTGACCGTAGCGGCGCATAGCCCACTCCAGCGCCTTGCCGGACAGACAGGAGATGAGGGCGGACATGCTCTCGTATTCCGAGGGCGCCGGGTGAATGGTTGCTAGGTAGAGTTCAACCTGGAGTAGGAAACCCTGACACCCGGCCGCGGTGCCATCATAAGCCCTCGGGAGCGAGAGCCGAATCCCACTGGACTCCGGAGATGGAACGATGGCTGATGGTGGTGGTATCGTAGGAGGAGGTGTGGGCAAACCTCCACTCTCCCATCGCCTCAAGGTGTCCATCACCCCTTGCATGGTGGTCCCCAGGTTCTGGATCATGGCCTCTTGGTGGATTACGCGCTCCTCCAGTGATCCCCTTGGCACCGCCGATCCTGCTGACTCCATGGTGGTGTGTTATTCTGTCAGAGTGCGACGGTGAAATGCGGTAGGCGAAGTCAAACGCAGGACACAGAGCTTACTGGAAACGTACTTTACTCTAAAGTAACCAGAGTAGAAAAACAATCTCCACATAAGGAGGATTAAACAACCTGCACACGAAACACTGCCGATTACGAATACAATAACACACAACACACAATGAACGACAGAGGGTTAAATAGGGAATACAATACAACATAATGGGGAACAGGTGTACACAATCAGGACAAAACAAGTCAAACACCGAAACATAGATCGGTGGCAGCTAGTACTCCGGGGACGACGAACGCCGAAGCCTGCCCGAGCAAGGAGGAGGAGCAGCCTCGGCTGATTCCGTGACAGCCTCCTACATCTTGCTACATGTTGAACTTCCATCCTCTCAGGCCAGGGGCACAATGTATGAATTTATGGTTGGATCAGAATCACCGTTATAATCATTGGCCAGTTCAGAGAATTAAGTAAAACCACGAGTCCAAATCCCTACCTCCATCCATGGCTAATTTTGTAAAGGGAAGATTTTAGCAAGCTAGCTAGTCAAAGGAGAACAACGACAACACAACGAGATGCAAGAATTCAAGTTTTTTTGTGTCAAATCATTTGGCTTCTGATGTGATGTGATACATTTACATTTTTGTCATTTAGCAGACGCTCTAATCCAGAGCGACTTACAGTTAGTGCATACATTTGTATTTTTCATACTGGCCCCCCGTGGGAATCGAACCCACAACCCTGGCATTGCAAATGCCATGCTCTACCAACTGAGCTACATCCCTGCCGGCCGTTCCCTCCCCTACCCTGGACGACGCTGGGCCAATTGTGCGCCGCCCCATGGGTCTCCCGGTCACGGTCGGCTACGACAGAGCCTGGATTCGAACCAGGATCTCTAGTGGCACAGCTAGCACTGCGATGCAGTGCCTTAGACCACTGCGCCACTCGGGAGATACATAGGTGTGAAGCCAAATCCAAACTGGCGTCCCTTTACACTTTTTTTTGGGTGTGCCAGGACCATTCACAGTTGAGTTCACTCAGTTTAGCTCAACGGTGATTGGCTATTATTTTATTTATTTTTTATCAAGGGAGGCCAAATGCTCACTGGATTCCCTTGCATTCAGTGCCACAGGCGGCAACAATGTCCCACTCTTTTTGACCACTGACCATGAAGCATCAGATAGATGGGCTACACATACTAAGACAGAGGGGCGCTGTTTCATTCGCTCGGCTTTCTCTGGTGAGTTACATTCAGCCTCTTGCGTATTTAAGGGAAATGTATGAAACACAGCGAGTCGAAAGATACATTATCTTGTTTATTTTTTTTCTTGGTCAATGTTTTGGGGAAGTGTGGCTTCCCTTGGCATCCATGAATACACGCCACTGCATTAGGTAGCGAGAAAAAAACACGGATACGTGTTTCGCAAGAGGCGAGGGCTATGACAGCCAGATTGTGTGCTTCTGGGATGATAAAGAGCTGCAATGGTTCTCTTCTCACTCCATCAAGTGCCTTGCTCACCAAGAGGAGGGGGAGGGTTACCAGCCTCATCCTCCAGTGACCAAACCATGTCAACGTGGCTGGAGGAGGGGTAGACTAGAGGAATACGGCAGTGGATTACTGTACATCTCAATATGATAGCCTATTGTTTACACCATCAAATCAGATTCATACACAAGTGTTATTATTACAAAGCAGTATGATGACCCAGATAACAGCAGTCACTGCTATAAGCTGGTTTATAACTAGATGGTGTAGTCAGACCAGACTAGACCACAGCATGTGCCAGGTTTGCTGATGGAATATTATTGTGGTTGTTACCATGCTGGTTCGCAATGCAATGGTCATCTATTTTGTGGTATATGGTTTGACACTGACAGCAGCTGGACACTGTAGAGTCAATACCAGCAGATTTCCAATGTCAGGATAAATGTGATTACTGCCATGTTTGTTGTGCCTGGTGCTTTGGGCCATTTAACCCTTCCTGTGCAGGAATGGTTGGTAATGGAGAAAATAGGACAGGCTGCAGTATTTTCCAGCTCTCTGGTCAAGGAAAGCTGTCAGAGCATTTTAAACTATTATGAATATGCATCTTTCTGGTAATTTAATTGGAATAGCAGTTTGCCAAAAGGCAACAAAAACCCTCATAGGCTCTTTGGGGTAAAGAGTGTGATGCGCCAGTCTGATGATTCCGTTAAGAACAGTACGCTATCAATGACGTTTTTTGCAGTAATGTTTTTGTGAATGGATTTTCAAATGGTGGCCTATTGATTTTAATAGAACATATAAAACAGAACGCTTTGGCAAGCACACATTGCGCAGGCACCCTTATTTCATCAACACGTCGAAGAATACCTACACATTCACTCCAAGCCTTCAACTGTTGAAATGTTGAATGTGCATTTGATCATTTAGCAATAAGTACATGATTAATCCTCTATCTGTTGCTTATTTCTTGTCTTATGTAGGCATTAATAAAATAACTTACATTTCTCTGTTAATGTCAGTTTCTCCTCAAAATTGTTCTCAAGATCGTTGTATTCCATTTTTTCACTTCAAGCGATTCGCAGTCCTTTTCCAGTTGCAGTCATTCCTCAAATATATCGAAGGACAGGAGAAAAAACTCCCGGTACAGTCTGATCACCAATACGCCCTTCGTAAATCCAAAAGGGAACGGTAGGGATAAAAAGATAATAGAATGACTGGGCAGAAATCCAGTGAAAAACGTGTGTGAAAAATTACATTCACAAGTAGTCGATATAAATCTCTGATATTTCCTCTTGAGGTAGAGACCCTGTCAGATCCTATTCTATTGCAAATTCTAATAGATCAACTCCGAAATCGAGGAGTCCGGGCTGGGCACAGGGACTTGCCCGTAGCAATAGAACTGCTTGACGAATATTTATGTCCGACAGCCGCTGCCTGCCTCTCTGATCGACTCTACCATCTGGGCTACCGGGGGTAAGCAAAACGCGGTGCACCTACTTATATAAAATATTTAAGGGATAACATGCTATCACGTCTATAAATGTTAAACACGTCTAGATCACTTGTTTTACAGTTGCATTTGTGTACTATAATGTGTGTGTTTTTTTATGGGGAAAATAGGAGAATATATCGCGCTTTGCGAAAGGTTGACCCCCGTGTTAGAAATGGTTACATCCATCAAGAATCCATCCTGAACACTCCAAGCAAGGTGAGTTATCTATCCAAGGAGCCCACAGAAATCTGTGCTATAACCATAATAACACTTAGGCTATTACAACCTTATAAACAGGTAATTAATCAAAGGGGTAACATGGTCACTTGAATTCATATAAAATGTCTCACTGCTTTTTGTCTGTCTTTTTTGTGTTGCTCTTTATTCCTTATGTAAGAGGCAAACAATGAATGGAAACAGCCTGCAACATAGGCTACAGGGGAATTAATGTTTTAATTAAATCAGTCTATAGTGTGACACAGTGAGAGAATAGTGGGAATGATTAGGTAATTCATAATTAATACGACCATCCTTCCACTGTAGGGGACACATTTATCTTTCAGATGATGGAGTCTGGTGTCTATTCCGATTAGATGAGGCACGGCGAGCATTAAGCCTGCTGGACCGGGCCTGATACACAAAGCCAATGCGAGTGTATATTCTATTAGGTTCACTAACTTTTGTGAATAGTCGTAGACCTACAATTTAGTGCAATTATATTTTCAGGATATAATTTTTTTTAAACAATGTCCCAGTGTGGTTTGGTCAGTATGTGTGTGGATAATTCATTCATTTTTTAATGAGCCGTTAAAAAATTTGCTTTAACCTGATTCACACCTCCACCCCTTGCCCTTAGGACACTTTCGATTTAAAATCAGATAAATAATAGATGTGTCAAGATAATCTGCATCATACAGTATAGTAACTCTCTGTACATCAACTATGAAAAAGTTGAAGAAACCATCCACAGATAGGATAGCAAATGTCAGAATTATATGACGTATTTCAGTATTCTTAGGCTAGTGTAAATAATAAACCAGTACAAATTAATGCTATAAACGCGCATGGGAAGTACATTTCAATACCAAATAGTTTAATGATTTACCTTCGCTTCACTTTTCTAAAACATTCAGTATTTCGCATCAACGTCATGCAGTACATTCTGGTATCCTCTGCCTGGTATATTAGGTGTACTCCACATCAGAGAATCAGGACAGTTCATGTAACATGATGTCAGGATGCTTTGAATACAGAAAGGCAAGATGCATTTCTAGGTGTTGAGACAAATATAAAATGCATGACCCACTTACGATAGAAGAAACAGCAATTCAAATATTCCAGAAAGTTTTTACAAGCTTGAGAATTGCAACTGAAGGCCCATCTCCAGTTTGAATGCTAGAATCTCTTTCTTTTTCAAGTTTTTCTGACACATTATTTTTCGGTCCTCTCTTTTAAACCATTGCACTCCGTTGAATCATGACAGTTCAAAATCATACTATTTCAAGACTGCAGAATGACAAGACCAGAAAATACTGACAAATCCAAACATTATGCGACTGTTATTCAGGTTAATCAAAACATTGTTTAATATCCTTCACTCTACTCGTATTTCTTGCTCCCTGAAAGTTCCTGGTTTGAGAATACCATATATTTAACAATACAGTGCAATCAACCAGGCTCCAACTCATGTGTGTGCTGTTTTCAGTATGAAAGTCATGATTCCTGGGGGCTTGTGTCCCCTGCTGATACAAACAGCCATTAAGAAGCCTATTCTTCCACAAATCATCCAATTTATGTTTTACAGCTATACAGAAGGAAGCTGGATCAGTAAAGAGGTTCTTTGTTGAGTTGATTACAATTTTAGGTCACTGATGATGAAGAAAGAATAACCATGCTAAGTTCAGTTTGCTAGGTTCAGTTTGGGCTAAATCTGAAAGTTCACTGTAGGCCTACTTGGTGGTAAACCAAAACCTAAACCATTATCTACCAGCCAGCCAGCCAGTCTGTCTGTCTGTCTGACTGACATCTATTCTATCCATTCACTCTTCTATCCCTCGAGGCATCTATCTATCCATCATTCAACCCATCCATCCATCCATCCACAGTTATTGATTGAGGTTATTTTTCCTGGAGCATTTTAATTTCTGTGGTATTGTCTGTAGGCTATTACATATTCATAATTAAAAGCAGAGCTGCCTAATTCAACCGATCAAAGGCTCTCACAATCCCACCAAGAGGCAAACCATAACTGACAACAAAACAGAGGTTCTAATATTTCTCTATTTTTTAACCATTTTTTGTCACATGGTCCCTTGAAGCAATCTGAGATGTAATAAAAACATGTCTCCACGCTCCTGTAAATATCTCTGGCAATCTTTAAACGTCTTATGCAATCTTTATGAAATAATAGCACCATATTCTGCCCCTAATTCCCTGATGTACTACCAAATCAGAGAAATAAGCTTAGGTTGACACGATTAGCTCTACCATTAATTTAATTGACGATGCCCTCTGCCACCCCATCACTTTAGCAGCCTTCTGTGGATACTCCAAATGATGAATCCCAAAATCCTATTGGATCTCTCGTTCCTTTATTTTCCAGATGATTATCAGTAACTTCAGAGCCAAATATAATTAAAGTGATGAGGGAGTTATTGCTCTTTTATTTGATAAGACCTCATAAATTTACTTTTTAATTCAAGAAAGACTGATAAATGGTTTATGTTGATAATGTAGCATGCCTGTCAGCGCACCAATGCTTATTTAGATTGGCTAAGAAGTGTGACAATAAAGAGATTATAGATATCAGTGTTAAATCAGAAATTCATTTTAGGGTCAGGCAGGTGTCTCACTACACAGCTACTCACTATACAGTACATGGGGAAAGGGGAAAATAAACATTTTGATCTCACAATACACACAAATGCAAAACGTTGCACAAATGTATCTTCTCTCACAACAAAAGGATGTATCAAGGGAAGGCTCTTTTGAATGAACACGCTTATCCTTGCCCAATTTGAGTACAAGCTATAATAAACCTCAGACAGCTCACATACAACCACAGAGGTATGTGTTTTAGTGTCTCTGCCCCCTGTGGAACTACAATTACAGCACCAGTGGCCTCAGACAACAGCAGTTAGTTGAGCCAATAGTTTAAATTCCAGGAAATTCTGTCACAGGGAGCTCCAGATCTCAAAGCTTCCTAAAGGACTAAAGCAGGGGTGTCAAACTCATTTTGCCCCGGGGGCCGCATTCAGCCTTCAAGGAGGTCTGCAGAGCCGGACCGAAAATTGGCTATATTTCCTCGCCGTCAAAATGTACCTAAAGTAGATGCTCCCTGACTGTCTAGCTTTCATTTAGCTTTTTATTAGCGAGCTGGACACAGTCAAGAAACAGTATGAATGTAGGTCCATTATCATTTCTACACAGTTTCGATTTGGTTTTAGTCATTTAAAAGTGATAGAGTTTGTTTCCCCCCAACCAATTATTTTTTTAAAAATATTTTTAAAATACAATAATTTTAACTAAAATCACCCGCGGGCCGGATCTGGCCTGCGGGCCGCATGTTTGACAACCCTGGTCTAAAGCCTACTCTGAAATATTTTTATTTTACATGATGAAATAGTCTTCCTAGCAGTTTCCCAGACCAGCGGAAGAACAGAGGAGTAAAAAAACAACACGTTTGTTTCTCAAAACTAAAGGGAGCTCAGACAGAAGCTTTGTTTTGGGAGTGAAAGCTATATAAACTGTTGTTTGGTTTTACAAGGAGTGTTTCAGTAGACAGAATATTGAAGTCAGTGTCTGAATATATATGCAGCTGTTACAGCGTGGGAGTCAACCATGTCTGCAGTTGCTGTGGTATCAGGAGAGGAGAACGCTGAGTGGCTTGGAAAAATTGCCAACTGATAACTCACTAGCAGATGGTCCGCTGGAAGCCAAGTGAAAGTTGAATCATGTATCCCTGATGCTTGCTTTCAATACATACAGTGAGGGAAAAAAGTATTTGATCCCCTGCTGATTTTGTACGTTTGCCCACTGACAAAGAAATGATCAGTCTATAATTTTAATGGTAGGTTTATTTGAACAGTGAGAGACAGAATAACAACAAATACATCCAGAAAAACGCATGTCAAAAATGTTATAAATTGATTTGCATTTTAATGAGGGAAATAAGTATTTGACCCCCTCTCAATCAGAAAGATTTCTGGCTCCCAGGTGTCTTTTAGGAACACACTCTTAAAGGGAGTGCTCCTAATCACAGCTTGTTACCTGTATAAAAGACACCTGTCCACAGAAGCAATCAATCAATCAGATTCCAGACTCTCCACCATGGCCAAGACCAAAGAGCTCTCCAAGGATGTCAGGGACAAGATTGTAGACCTACACAAGGCTGGAATGGGCTACAAGACCATCGCCAAGCAGCTTGGTGAGAAGGTGACAACAGTTCGTGCGATTATTCGCAAATGGAAGAAACACAAAATAACTGTAAATCTCCCTCGGCCTGGGGCTCCATGCAAGATCTCACCTCGTGGAGTTGCAATGATCATGAGAACGGTGAGGAATCCGCCCAGAACTACACGGGAGGATATTGTCAATGATCTCAAGGCAGCTGGGACCATAGTCACCAAGAAAACAATTGGTAACATACTACGCCGTGAAGAACTGAAATCCTGCAGCGCCCGCAAGGTCCCCCTGCTCAAGAAAGCACATATACAGGCCCGTCTGAAGTTTGCCAATGAACATCTGAATGATTCAGAGGAGAACTGGGTGAAAGTGTTGTGGTCAGATGAGACCAAAATGGAGCTCTTTGGCATCAACTCAACTCGCCGTGTTTGGAGGAGGAGGAATGCTGCCTATGACCCCAAGAACACCATCCCCACCGTCAAACATGGAGGTGTAAACATCATGCTTTGGGGGTGTTTTTCTGCTAAGAGGACAGGACAACTTCACCGCATCAAAGGGATGATGGACGGGGCCATGTACCGTCAAATCTTGGGTGAGAACCTCCTTCCCTCAGCCAGGGCATTGAAAATGGGTTGTGGGTGGGTATTCCAGCATGACAATGACCCAAAACACACGGCCAAGGCAACAAAGGAGTGGCTCAAGAAGAAGCACATTAAGGTCCTGGAGTGGCCTAGCCAGTCTCCAGACCTTAATCCCATAGAAAATCTGTGGAGGGAGCTGAAGGTTTGAGTTGCCAAACGTCAGCCTCGAAACCTTAATGACTTAGAGAAGATCTGCAAAGAGGAGTGGGACAAAATCCCTCCTGAGATGTGTGCAAACCTGGTGGCCAACTACAAGAAACGTCTGACCTCTGTGATTGGGTTTTGCCACCAAGTACTAAGTCATGTTTTGCAGAGGGGTCAAATACTTATTTCCCTCATTAAAATGCAAATCAATTTATAACATTTTTGACATTCGTTTTTCTGGATTTTTTTGTTGTTATTCTGTCTCTCACTGTTCAAATAAACTTACCATTAAAATTATAGACTGATCATTTCTTTGTCAGTGGGCAAAGGTACAAAATCAGCAGGGGATCAAATACTTATTTCCCTCACTGTATATATGTAACCACAATTTTAAAGTTCTGTTGCTGTACAACCCACTGGGCACAGACGTCAATTCAGCGTCTATTCCATGTTGGTTCAACGTAATTTCATTGAAATGACGTGGAAACAATGTTGATTCAACCAGTGTGTGCCCAGTGGGGACTGTGTATAAAATAGAGCTTGACATATTTGTTCAGTGGTCAAGTGTCCTAAGTGTAACTCAATCTGGCAGACAAAACAGGCTGAGATGTAACTCATTGTGATGGTCGAAACTACTTTGGCAGGCAGAACCTGATCTGGGCCACTGATGATGTAAATGCCCTGAAATATGCACCAGAGGCATAACCACACAGAGGTTCCAGACATAATACTGAGAACATGAGACTACTTGTCAAAGGGACAGGCACATGCGAATTTCTCATGTAAACCAACCACTAATGGGGACTACTAACTGATATACAGGAGAGATAAGGGGGGATATTGGTTGTCGTGCCACTGTGTACTAACAACATTTCAATGAAGTGAGAGAGTGGATAAGGGAGTGACTGACTGATACAGTCATTTGTCTTTGGGTTTAAAAGTCATTCCTGTCCCATGCCCAGGCACATTGTTCACATACAAACCCCCTCCCCAGTGTCCCATCCCTCATACAGAACCACTCCCCAGTGTCCCACCCCACAGCACGTCCCCAACAGTTGCTTTGACTATGTCGTCTCGTGTGCCCAGCTGTTATTGTGGTGTACCGCTGACAGTGACAGCAGTAGCAGTTGTCAGGGACTACCATACCATTACTGTCCATCCCCTCTACATTACTGGACACAAAACATGCTTACACGTGTTTCTTCTTAAGGATACAGTGCCTTCAGAAAGTATTCACACCCCTTGATTTTTTCAAAATGTTGTTGTGTTACAGCCTGAATTAAAAATCAATTAATTAAAATAACAAAATGTACAATTGGTTAAATTGAAATGTTTCGTCACTGGCCTACACACAATACCCCATAATGTCAAAGTGGAATTATGTTTTTAGAAATCTTTATAAAATGTATTCAAAATGAAAAGCTGAAATGCCTTGAGTCAATAAGTATTCAATCCTTTTGTTATGGCAAGACTAAATAAGTTCCAGAGTAAAAATGTGCTTAACAAGTCACATAAGTTGCATGGACTCACTCTGTGCAATAATAGTGTTTAACATGATTTTTGAATGAATACGTAATCTCTGTACCCCACACATAAAAGTATCTGTACGGTCCCCTCAGTCAAGCAGTGAATTTCAAACACAGATTCAACCACAAAGACCAGGGAGGTTTTCCAATGCCTCACAAAGAAGGGCACCTATTGGTATATGGGTTAAAAAAAAGCAGACATTGAATATCCCTTTGAGCATGGTGAAGTTATTAATTACAATTTGGATGGTGTATTAATACACTCAGTCACTACAAAGATACAGGCGTCCTCCCTAACTCAGTTGCCAGAGAGGAAGGAAACCACTCACCATGAGGCCAATGGTGACTTTAAAACAGTTACAGAGTTTGATGGCTGTGATAGAAGAAAACTGAGGATGGATCAACAACATTGTAGTTACTCCACAATACTAACCGAATTTACAAAGTGAAAAAAAGATAGACTGTACAGAATAAAAATATTCGAAAACATGCATCCTGTTTGCAACAAGGCACTAATGTAATACTGCAAGAAATGAATACAAAGTGTTATGTTTGGGGAAAATCCAATACAACACATTACTGAGTACCACTCTCCATATTTTCAGGCATATTGGTGGCTGCATCATGTTATGGGTATGCTTGTAATCGTTAAGGACTGGGGAGTTTTTCAGGATAAAAAAGTAATGGAATGGAGCTTAGCACAAAATCCTAGAGAAAAACCTGGTTCAGTCGGTTGGTTCAGTCTGCGGCAGGTAGTCTAGCAGTTAAGAGCGTTGGGCCAATAACCGAAAGGTTGCTGGTTTGAATCCCTGAGCCAACATGGTGAAAAATCTGTCGATGTGCTTTTGAGCAAGGCATTTCACCCTAATTTCTCTGGATAATGCTCTGCTCAATGACTAAAATGTAAAACACCGGGAGATGAATTCACCTTTCAACAGGACAATAACCTAAATCACAAGGCCAAATCTACACTGGAGTTCCTTACTAGAAGACAGTGAATGTTCCCGAGTGACCGAGTTAAAGTTTTGACTTAAATCTACTTGAAAATCTATGGCTTGACATTGTCTAGCAATGTTCAACAACCAATTTGACAGAGCTTGCAGAATTTTTAAAAGATTAATGGGCAAATGTTGCACAATCCAGGTGTGGAAAGCTCTTAGAGACTTACCCAGAAAGACTCTCAGCTGTAATTGCTGCCAAAGGTGCTTTTACAAAGTATTGACTCAGGGGCGTGAATGTTGAGATATTTCTGTATTTCCTTTTCAATAAATGTGGTAAAATTTCTAAAAACATGTTTTCAATTTGTCATTATGGGGTATTGTGTGTAGATGGGACAGGAACAAAACAAATGTCATCCATTTTGAATTGAGGCTGTAACACAACAAAATGTGGAATAAGTCAAGGGGTATGAATACTTTCTGAAGGAACTGTATTTTGACAATACAATTACTGAATAGATGGCTGCATTAAGTGATTTGCATCCTTCTCTTTAGTCACAGTGAAACACATGCGTACAGTACATGGAATGCACATAAAAACATTGTACAAAACCTTCCTCACATGTAGAAACAAACTCCCACCCCAAGCCACTCAACCACGATACAATTTCACATGAAGTACACTAGTAAATATATGCACAGTGTGGTGTGAAAACGTGCAAAAACATCCACACAAAAGCAATGTGAGTTGCCTCAAGTGCTTCATGCTGGAATCCATTTGGAGTAATTGTATAAGAAAGACCGCTTTGATGACGTATCTGGTTCATAGTAACCTAGAAACAAAAAGGGACATTAAGTTCAATCAATATCCTCTTCAGTGAAATGAAAGTTAAACATAAATGCCTTTTCATAAGAATAACAATAATAATAGTAAAAAGCAATATAGTATAACAGAAAACAAAAAATGGCCGTTATAACCATTCGTGTGACAAGGAGGGTCATTAATACAGCACCTGGCCCTGGCACTCCTTGGCCGCGCACATCCTGGGTCCAACGGCTTGTCCCAGAAACAAACATGGAACTAGACATGAAGTGCTTGGGCGGGTCTCCATAGTTCACTACATCATACTGCCCAGGGCCAGGCAGGGGAGGGTTCTTCAGAAGAATCAGAGGGGGAGCTGATATTCCCAGGTAATGTCTCCTCCTTGGACAAGGGTTAAAGGGCATGGGAGAGCAGTTTAAGACCAGAGAGATGTTATCAGAGAAACGATTACCCTGCTACTCCTGGATCCGTATTGATAAAGCGTCTCCCAGTAGGAGTGCTGATCTAGAATCAGGTCCCCCCCCCCCCCCCCCTGTGCTTTTACTCACGGTAGGATGGTCCTCCTGACTGGCTCTGGGGCCTGGTAGGGACTATAGGTGCCTGGGCCTGGGACATGGTTATTCACAGGGGACTGGATCCTCACAGAGTTGGACTTGAAGCAGGAGAGGGGAACCTTGGGGCATTTCTGAGTTATGGCATCATTGACTTTGTAGTGACCTTGAACAAGCAAAGATAAACAGGATCATATTAAAAATCCTGTAGAGGAGTTTATGTAATGCAGTGTTGATTAAAAATGATATTCCCAATGAGCAAAAATATACTGCTTTAATAAAAAGTATAATACTTACATGGGGATGGTCCTTTTAGAGTGTTTGAGCACACAGAACTCCGTCCAGTTGTTGACAGAAATACTGATTGAGCGGACACTGTGTTTGGCTTTACCCCACCTAAGGACACCTAGAGCACCAAGAATAAAGGCAAGTCTTTAAACAAAAACACTACATTCATAACAACATGTTTAGAGTAAAATGTTCAGTACACAAACATGTAAGCCTATTGTATACAGGAAATAAACGTACAGTGTTTCATATCAACATTCAAATATGGATCTAAAACATGGCTTCCCTCTTCTCATATAACCTAGGTTGTGAATAACCTTGAATACTGCACTTACATGATATTGATTAGGGGCTGGAGTCTTGTTCTTAGGGCCATCAAGTTGTACAGCCACTGGCAGTCGGAAAGTTCTGGAGCCTCCCCTGCCGAAGCTGTGTTTGTGGATCAGAGAGGACTGCAGGTTATAGGCATTGGGTCCTGGGATACCTCTCTGAGGGTTACGGGGAACTCTGACAGCCTAGTGGAAAAGAGAAGATGCCCTAGGTAAGTGTTGTAAGTATGGCAGCTGACCGGGTTTTAAGAGAGTATAGGCCTACCTATAACATAAGCTTCACTTGGTCTCTGAGATCCTAAGGACACTAGATTTGATCCCTATTATCGGTAAAGTTTGAGAATACATTTTATTAAAATTACATGATGATTCCACTGATGTCAACAAAGAGATTGAGGTTGTGAGTAGGGTACCATTAACATGTCTGACCTGGGATGCAAAGCCTCCTGTACCTTTCTTTGAGAAGGAGGGGCTGCTGATTTCAGCAGGCCTGTGAGACATATATGTGCCTGGCCCTGGGTTTTCATTCTGAAATCACATTTCAAAATCATATCATAATTGGACAATTAATGTGTTGGTTGATTTATTGATTAGCTGGAGGACTGATTAACTGATTGACATATCTACCTGGCTGTCTTCTGAAAGGAACCTCTTAGCTTGTGACAAGAACCCTTTCTTATCCTCATTGCTTATCACCACTGTTTGGTATTTGGTGGGTATTGATGATATGTATCCTGGAAGTTTCCCGCCTAGATGAATGTAAAAAGAGATATCTGAAGTCTGAGCAGATCGTCATTTAGGTCTACAAGGGATGAAAGGCAAAAAAGGTAACTTACTGTCATTCAATCCTTTGTGTATTTTGCCCATCATTAGCTAAGAGACATTTAACACAACTGGAGGGACAGGTGCCTGAAGCATTTGCATCGCCTGACAATCTGTTTAGAAGGGAAGAGCGTTTGTAATGGCACTGACACTGCAACACCTAGCATGTTAATTTATAGCTGACGACTAGTAGCCACTAGCTAGCAATTTGCACGGTAAATGTAGCTCGATGATCATGACAAAACAAAAGTTAAAAAAAAACAACATTTGAAATCATTTCAGAAGGATTTAAACTTTAGTCATGATCATCGAGCTACATTTACCAAACTCGCAAAGTGATCATAGGATGCAACAATTTATCTCTTACCACACTGCAGTCATTGTAGCCAGAAACACATTTCTGAGTGAGGATACAATGTTTCCGCATATGATATGTTGCCATGACAGCTAGTAAACGTTCTTGGCGGAAAGCAAGGAGGGCGAGGCAGCAGAATAAAAAGCATTTGGCTATTTGCAAGCAAACCTACCTGTCATCTAGCGCCTACGTGTGGCGAAAGTTTTTACTGCCTATTTTGCTTCATCATTGAAGACGCGCCACTGTTGTGTTTTTCGAAGATTCATCATGGCAATGCATGCGAAGGCGACACCACCACAGATTCCCGACACACGTCGGGAACTCTCGGAGCTGGTCAAGAGGAAACAAGAACTTGCGGTAAGCGAAATAGCTAGTTACGTTTCCATTTGGCTAAATATCTTGCTATATGCGTATCTTGCTGCATCTAATGCTTTATTTGAAGTTAGCTTGCTAGCTAACTAACGTTAGGCCGCGCTAGTTACTACGACTAGGCCTCGGCTTTCTACGAACATCTTTGTGGTTTTATCGTTAGCTAGCTACCATACTATTCGAGTTATCGAACATTAGATACAATGTAACATGTCTTTATTCAGCATGGTGAGTAGATTGTTTTACTCCTGACTCAATGGTTATGCAATGCGTCGCTGGCGCTAGTTACTATGTAGTAACTTATTTTGCCCACAAGGAGCAGCCAAAACCTACTATGCGCAATCCCACGCCCACATACTGTACACCATGGCTCTGGTACCAAGGTTTTCCCCTTTTATCTGTGGTGGTACAGTCTCTGGCTATATTGTAATTACACATTCCGTCCGTTTCATAAACCACAAATGCAAAGTCTAATGCCTTTTGCATACTTTCCACAGGAGACGTTGGTGAACTTGGAGAGACAGATCTATGCATTTGAGGGCAGCTACTTGGAAGACACCCAGATGTATGGGAACATCATCAGAGGATGGGACAGATATCTCACCAACCAAAAGTAAGCATGACATGGTACGGCAGACTCAGACATGAAAAGAGAACAGTTGATATTGAATCATCGAGCCTGTGTTTGCAATCTATTTACCCTGTTTTGTATTGTTCCGTTATAGAAATTCCAACAGCAAGACGGACAGAAGAAACAGAAAGTTCAAGGAGGCAGAGCGTCTGTTCAGCAAGTCCTCTGTCACTTCTGTAGCAGTGAGTGCCTCACTTCACTCTCCTCTGTCTGTCCTCTCAATATTTTCCTGGTAGATCGTGTATGATTGCAAGAATGTGTAAAGAATGAGTCTGACCAACTTTTTGTCTTTGTTGAACAGGCTGTCTGTGCACTCGGTGGGATACCAGATCACATGAATGAAAAGCGTAGGTATTTGGCTCAGCCAACTGCATGGCAACTTTTACCACAGTGCATATGTCTGTGTGAGAGACAGATAGACGTGAGTGTGACATGCTGCTCCATTGTGTCTGCCCCATCAGGTGAGCCCGGCAGTGGGACAGAGAGCGACACATCCCCAGACCTCCAGAACCAGGAGAATGAGCCCAGTCAGGAGGACACGGAGGACGCAGACGGGGCCCTGCAGGACCTCAAACCTCAGAAGGCTGCATCCTCTTCCTCAGGCAGTCACCACGGGAGCCACAAGAAGAGGAAGAACAAAAACAGACACAGGTACTAGACCTTAAACACAGCCCCCTGGTCTAGGCTAACTCCTAAACACAGCCCCCTGGTCCAGGCTAACTCCTAAACACAGCCCCCTGGTCCAGGCTAACTCCTAAACACAGCCCCCTGGTCCAGGCTAACTCCTAAACACAGCCCCCTGGTCTAGGCTAACTCCTAAACACAGCCCCCTGGTCCAGGCTAACTCCTAAACACAGCCCCCTGGTCCAGGCTAACTCCTAAACACAGCCCCCTGGTCCAGGCTAACTCCTAAACACAGCCCCCTGGTCCAGGCTAACTCCTAAACACAGCCCCCTGGTCCAGGCTAACTCCTAAACACAGCCCCCTGGTCTAGGCTAACTCCTAAACACAGCCCCCTGGTCCAGGCTAACTCCTAAACACAGCCCCCTGGTCCAGGCTAACTCCTAAACACAGCCCCCTGGTCCAGGCTAACTCCTAAACACAGCCCCCTGGTCCAGGCTAACTCCTAGGGCGCATTCAGCAGGACACAACGTTGTGGAACATTCAGGCGGCATGCCTAGCGGTTAAGAGTGTTGGGCCAGTAACCGAAAGGTCGCTGGTTAGAAACCCCAAACCGACTAAGTGAAAAATCTGTCGGTGGGCCCTTGAGCAAGGCACTTGACCCTAATTGTTCCTGTAAGTTGCTCTGGATAAGAGCGTCTGCTAAATGACTGAAATGTAAGATGTACTGAACATGGCCCTACTGTCAAGTCTGATATCTGTGCTGCGCTCTCTCACTCTTTTTGATTGCTATGGATAATGAATGTTGTCTCTGACTGAAGTTTCTTTGGCCGAGCTGCTAAGCTTGTACTGCTTTTGTTTTTCTTGGGTGAGCAACGCACCATTTTTAAAGTTGTCATGGTCAGTTTGATTGGGTGTACTAGTGTATAAACGTCTGGTTTATTGCAAGTGGATAGTCTCTGTTTGTGTTGGAGCTGGAATGGGAGGAATAGGAAGGAACACAACTTTTCCAGCTATATTCATATCAATCAGACAGTGTCAACTCAACTTATCACACCTGTTCCTAGCCACATTATTATATGTTGTATGTAGCTTAATACACCATAATGTATTTAGCGCCAGATCTGCTCAAGAAGATAGGCTCAATTTTGTGAAAATATTGTGGTGGTTTAATTATTGACAAGTCTATTTTACAGATATGTAGGCATCCCTTTAGAGTGAGCCAGGCCGGGTGTACTAACTACTGCTGCTCTTTCCTCCCCTAATGCTGCCCCAGCCCTTCTGCCATGTTTGATTATGACTTTGAGTAAGTCTCCAATTTTACTTCCTGCTTCCTGTGGTGATACATCCTGGCTACATACCAAATGTCACCCTATTCCCTATATAGCGCACTGCTCTTGGGCTCTGGTCAAAAGTAGTGGACTATGTAGGGAATAGGGTTACATTTGGGACACAACCCTGCCTTCTCTGACCCCATCCTGACTTCCCCACTCTCTCCGTCCCTCAGCTCTCTGTTTTGCTTCTGTCTCTCTAGCTCTGTCGGTTCATGCCCTCGTAGTGAATCTATCATTATTGCATGTCCAAATCTTCAGTGGTGTCCCAAATGACGCCCTATTCCCTATTTAGTGCACTACTTTTGACCAGGCCCCATGTAAGGAATATGGTGCCATTTGGGGATGCACGCTTCATTTCTCAAATCATGCGTTGTTTATAATAAAGTATTAGCACCTAGCTTCTGTAGACTCAACACTAGATTATTAAGTGTTTATGAATCATAGGGGCATAAACACTTCTTCTATAGAAGCTCAGTGTATTTCTTGACCCTTCATGGTTTCATTCCAAAAGGTCAAGTTCCCCTAATCCAGTTATGAAAAAACCCGCTCTTCCTGCCAAAATGAGATGGGGAGGTCAAAGGTTGAGTACAAACAAACATCTTTCACCGCACCCCAGGTGTTCATATGGTGCTCTGGTGGTCTTGTTGTGGTTTGGTCTCTTAGCGCTTAGCTTGAGTAACTGTAGTGGTGCTTGTTGTCCCCATAGTTACTGTTGTATTTAGTAAAACCTGAAATAGGCCTACCTAACATAACTCTTGCTTTGATTTGTTTTTAGATTTGACATGAAGGTGAACAAAAAACCCAGAGCGGTAAGATATTTATTTGTAAGACAACATAACATTTAAATGTATTCTCGTTGCTTGCATTGAGCTATCAATAAAGCAATTTGTTATTAGAAAGATTTAGGTTCTGCTTTTAATTCTGTTGTCTATGTTCTCCTTGTTCCACAGGACTATTCGACTTGATGAAAAGGGATCGTAAGCAGTATAAACAAGACCTAGTGGGCAGACAGAAGAGGTCTACGGTGAAACAGAGAGCCCCTCTGAACTTTAACTGTCTTTATTTCTGCTTTGTCATTGCATGAAACATTGCCTCTCACCTGCTATCAGAAATATTTGTGTTTCATGATTTTCCTGCAGACAAGGTGTGTTATATTGCATGTTACTCAAGACCCAGGTGGGGGTTGGATAACACACCTTATTGTATAGGGTTGAAAATTCAATATTTATTATGTAACTCCCACCTTTTTCCTCTTCTTGTGACAAAAAGTTGTTTTACTTTTTATTAGTCATTGTGTAGTTTTGTAACTCTAGAATATCCCATCTTCTTTTTTATCTTTTTGTTTTATTTTGAGATTTGTTTTGCATAAGATTGTAATAAAACATTGAAATTATATTACTATACATTTGTTGTTTATTGCTTAAAATCTACACCTTAGTAAATCATTAGTCACCATCTGTCTTTACCCTGTACTCTTCAGTAATAGTACAGCAGGAAAATCAACACAGAAGCTAGTTTATTACCATCAGATTTCCCCTTGTGTCTGACAGCAATTACTCCCTGGTTTCTTTGTGGCTTCTTCATGGCTCATTTACTTACCAATTACAGGCCAATGAGCTCAGACGAGCCTTGGGATCCTAGGATGTCTCCCAAGTCCCCCCTCTTATTGGTTGAGTCCTAAATACAGTGGCTTGCGAAAGTGTTCACCCCCCTTAGCATTTTTCCTATATAGAGACATACCCCCCCCAAAGTAAATGCTCTGTAGAGCCACCTTTTGCAGCAATTACAGCTGCAAGTATCTTGGGGTATGTCTCTATAAGCTTGGCACATCTAGCCACTGGGATTTTTGCCCATTCTTCAAGGCAAAACTGCTCCAGCTCCTTCAAGTTGGATGGATTCCGCTGGTGTACAGCAATCTTTAAGTCATACCACAGATTCTCAATTGGATTGAGGTCTGGGCTTTGACTAGGCCATTCCAATACATTTAAATGTTTCCCCTTAAACCACTCAAGTGTTGCTTTAGCAGTATGCTTAGGGTCATTGTCCTGCCAGAAGGTGAACCTACGTCCCAGTCTCAAATCTCTGGAAGATTGAAACAGGTTTCCCTCAAGAATTTCCATGTATTTAGCGCCATCCATCATTCCTTCAATTCTGACCAGTTTCCCAGTCCCTGCCGATGAAAAACATCCCCACAGCATGATGCTGCCACCACATTTTACATTACATTTACATTTACATTACATTTTAGTCATTTAGCAGACGCTCTTATCCAGAGCGACTTACAGGAGCAATTAGGGTTAAGTGCCTTGCTCAAGGGCACATTTATGTCATTTAGCAGACGCTCTTATCCAGAGCGACTTACAAATTGGTGCATTCACCCTATAGCCAGTGGGATAACCACTTTACACTTTTTTTTTTTTTTGGGGGGGGGGGGGGGGGGGTGGAAGGATTACTTTATCCTATCCCAGGTATTCCTTAAAGAGGTGGGGTTTCAAATGTCTCCGGAAGGTGGTGAGCGACTCCGCTGTCCTGGCGTCGTGAGGGAGCTTGTTCCACCATTGGGGTGCCAGAGCAGCGAACAGTTTTGACTGGGCTGAGCGGGAACTATGCTTCCGCAGAGGAAGGGGAGCCAGCAGGCCAGAGGTGGATGAACGCAATGCCCTCGTTTGGGTGTAGGGACTGATCAGAGCCCGAAGGTACAGAGGTGCCGTTCCCCTCACTGCTCCATAGGCAAGCACCATGGTCTTGTAACGGATGCGAGCTTCAACTGGAAGCCAGTGGAGTGTGCGGAGGAGGGGGGGTGACGTGAGAGAACTTGGGAAGGTTGAACACCAGACGGGCTGCGGCATTCTGGATGAGTTGTAGGGGTTTAATGGCACAGGCAGGGAGGCCAGCCAACAGCGAGTTGCAGTAATCCAGACGGGAGATGACAAGTGCCTGGATTAGGACCTGTGCCGCTTCCTGTGTAAGGCAGGGTCGTACTCTCCGAATGTTGTAGAGCATGAACCTGCAGGATCGGGTCACCGCCTTGATGTTAGCGGAGAACGACAGGGTGTTGTCCAGGGTCACGCCAAGGCTCTTCGCACTCTGGGAGGAGGACACAACGGAGTTGTCAACCGTGATGGCGAGATCATGGAACGGGCAGTCCTTCCCCGGGAGGAAGAGCAGCTCCGTCTTGCCAGGGTTCAGCTTGAGGTGGTGATCCGTCATCCATACTGATATGTCTGCCAGACATGCAGAGATGCGATTCGCCACCTGGTTATCAGAAGGGGGATGGTATTCTCAGGGTGATGAGAGGTGTTGGGTTTGCGCCAGACATAGCGGTTTCCTTGATGGCGAAAAAGCTCAATTTTAGTCTCATCTGACAAGAGTACCTTCTTCCATATGTTTGGGGAGTCTCCCACATGCCTTTTGGCGAGCACCAAACGTGTTTGCTTGTTTTTGTCTTTAAGCAATGGCTTTTTTCTGGCCACTCTTCCGTAAAGCCCAGCTCTGTGGAGTGTATGGCTTAAAGTGGTCCCTTGGACAGATACTCCAATCTCCGCTGTGGAGCTTTGCAGCTCCTTCAGGGTTATCTTTGGTCTCTTTGTTGCCTCTCTGATTAATGCCCTCCTTGCCTGGTCCGTGAGTTTTGGTGGGCGGGCCTCTCTTTGCAGGTTTGTTGTGGTGCCATATTCTTTCAATTTTTTAATAATGGATTTAATGGTGCTTTGTGGGATGTTCAAAGTTTCAGATATTTTTTTATAACCCAACCCTGATCTGTACTTCTCCACAACTTTGTCCCTGACCTGTATGGAGAGCTCCTTGGTCTTCATGGTGCCGCTTGCATGGTGGTGCCCCTTGCTTAGTGGTGTTGACTCTGGGGCCTTTCAGAACAGGTGTATATATACTGAGATCATGTGACAGATTATATACTGAGATCATGTGACAGATCATGTGACACTTAGATTGCACACAGGTGGACTTTATTTAACTCATTATGTGACTTCTGAAGGTAATTGGTTGCACCAGATCTTATTTAGGGGCTTCATAGCAAAGGGGGTGAATACATATGCACACACCACTTTCACGTTATTTATTTTTTAGAATTTTTTGAAACAAGTAATTTTTTTCATTCCAATTCACCAATTTGGACTATTTTGTGTATGTCCATTACATTAAATCCAAATAAAAATATATTTAAATTACAGGTTGTAATGCAACAAAATAGGAAAAACGCCAAGGGGGCTGAATACTTTTGCAAGGCACTGTAGCACCCATTACCTTTATAGTGCTCTGGTCAAAAGTAGTACGCTATATAGGGAATAGGGTGCCATTTTGGACGTAACCATTCACATTTGTCAGTAATTCCTTCATCCCAGATGTGCAGTGTCTGTGAGATCCTGGAAATTGTTTTGATACTATGTTCACATTCAAACAGTTTTATTCTGACTCCAGGTATGATTAAAAGAACACTGTTTACACAAAGATTTGAAGTCATTTTGGTATTCCTGTGGGGCAGTTCTCATCGACAGAGTTTGTTTTATGAAAATAGTGACAGTTTGAGTGACCAGGGGACCACACGATGACAGCCTATCCCATGCTATTTCTAGAATGTTCCCTTCCCTTGTTTGTAAAGATCAAACATGATGCGTACTGCATAGTATTGAAACGGGTTGGTGAATACAGACTTAGTTATTTTCTGTTGTTTTGAACGGTCAGATGAAAAGATAGTAGTAGTAGTAGTAAGCCTATTTCAAGTAGATATGCAGGTTTGTTAGTGAATGTCGCTGTACTGCCACCGTGCGATACCACATTTGTTCACTAGGTGGCGCTACTTCATAATTCATGTTCAAAAGACCTCAAAGCATTGCCTTAAATGCCTTTCAACCACAGGCTTTCCATATCATAACCAAAAAGTCCTAAACCTATTTCAAATTTGGCTACTATGAGTCATAAGTGGTTAAATCTGCCATCAACCTATCAAATGTATGGTTCATGCTGTTCTTAAATTCTCTGTATTGCCTAAGATCCTCTAATTGATTAGGGTGTCCTCCCACCAATATTCTGCCATGTCAACTCTATGATGTCATCATGGGACACCCTGCACTCCAAAGTCCTTTAAGATCACGGCTTCTGGGATTTGGCTCACGGTCTCTATGCATCCCAAATGGCACCCTATTCCCTATTTACTGAACTACTTTTGATCAGAGTCCATATGGATCTGGTCAAAAGTAGTGCACCATATAGGGAATAGGGTGCCATTTAGGACAGCCTGTACCTCAGTCTTGACTCAGAAGGGAAGCATTCAACAGTGTTCAATTCATATACAGTATCTCTCAGTTCTGTCATATACAGTACATCAGTGAGGTTAGTCAGAACACTGACCCATTATGATGTAGTGAATTCCACGTTAGTCACATGTTGAGTCCCAAATGGCACCCTATTCCCTACATAGTGCACTACTTTTGACCAAAGCCCTATGAGCCCTTTTGGAAAGTATTCAGACCCCTTGACTTTTTCCACATTTTGTTACATTACAGCCTTATTCTAAACTACATTAAATAACAAATATCCTCATCAATCTACACACAATACCCCATAATGACAAAGCGAAAACAGAAATACCTTATTTACATAAGTATTCAGACCCTTTGCTATGAGACTCAAAATGTATTTCAAGTGCATCCTGTTTCCATTGATCATCCTTGAGATGTTTCTACAACTTGATTGGAGTCCACCTGTGGTAAATTCAATTGATTGGACATAATTTGGAAAGGCATACATCTGTCTATATAAGGTCCCACAGTTGACAGTGCATGTCAGAGCAAAAACCAAGCCATGAGGTCGAAGGAATTGTCCGTAGAGCTCTGTGACAGGATTGTGTCGAGGCACAGATCTGGGGAAGGGTACCAAAAAATGTCTGCAGCATTTGTATTTGTATTTGTATTTATTATGGATCCCCATTAGCTGATGCCAAGGCAGCAGCTACTCTTCCTGGGGTCCAAACATATTAAATAACTTACATTACATATAAAATAAAAAATAAAACAGTACATCATATAACATTATTACACTGCTACATATCTACAATACAAAATGTTTAATACCCCCATACAACAATATCACAATGTGTGCGTATGCATGTGTTTGTACCTTTGTGTGTGTCTCTTCACAGTCCCCGTTGTTCCAGAAGGTGTATTTTTACCTGTTTTTTTAAATCTGATTCTACTGCTTGCATCAGTTACCTGATGTGGATAGAGTTCCATTTAGTCAGATGTGCGCCTCCCATAGTCTGTTCTGGACTTGGGGACTGTGAAGAGACCTCTGGTGGCAGTGAAGAGACCTCTGGTGGCATGTCTTGTGGGGTATGCATGGGTGTCCGAGCTGTGTGCTAGTATTTTAAACAGACAGCTCGGTACATTCAGCTTGTCAACACCTCTTACAAAAACAAGTAGTGATGAAGTCAATCTCTCTTCAACTTTGAGCCATGAGAGATTGACATGCATGTCATAATGTTAGCTCTCCGTGTACTTTTAAGGGCCAGCCGTGCTGCCCTGTTCTGAGCCAACTGCAATTTTCCCAAGTCCCTCTTTGTAGCACCTGACCACACTACTGAACAGCAGTCTAGGTGCTACAAAACTAGGGCCTGTAGGACCTGGCTTGTTGATAGTGTTGTTAAGAAGGCAGAGCAGCGCTTTATTATGGACAGACTTCTCCCCATTTTAGCTACTGTTGTTTCAATATGTTTTGACCATGACAGTTTACAATCCAGGGTTACTCCAAGCAGTTTAGTCACCTCAACTTGCTCAATTTCCACATTATTCATTAAGAGATGTAGTTGAGGTTTAGGGTTTAGTGAATGATTTGTCCCAAATACAATGCTTTTGGTTTTGGAAATATTTAGGACTAACTTATTCCTTGCTACCCATTCCAAAACTAACTGCAGCTCTTTGTTAAGTGTTGCAGTTATTTCAGTTGCTGTAGTAACTGACGTGTATAGTGTTGAGTCATCCACATACATAGACACACTGGCTTTACTCAAAGCCAGTGGCATGTCATTAGTAAAGATGGAAAAAAGTAAGGGGTCTAAACAGCTACCCCGGGGAATTCCTGATTCTACCTGGATTATGTTTGAGAGGCTTCCATTAAAGAACACCCTCTGTGTTCTGTTAGACAAGTAACTCTTTATCCACAATAGAGCAGGGGTTATAAAGCTATAACGCATACGTTTTTCCAGAAGTAGACTATGATCGATAATGTCAAGAGCTCGGACTTGAACCCGATCGAACATCTCTGGAGAGACCTGAAAATAGCTGTGCAGCGACGCTCCCCATCCAACCTGACAGAGCTTGAGAGGCTCTGTAGAGAAGAATGGGAGAAACTCCCCAAATACAGGTGTGCCAAGCTTGTAGCATCATACCAAATAAGACTCGAAGCTGTAATCACTGCCTAAGGTGCTTCAACAAAGTACTGTGTAAAGGGTCTGAATACTTATGTGAATGTGATATTTCCGTTATTTATTTTTATACATTTGCAAACATTCTAAAAACCTGTTTTTGCTTTGTCATTATGGGGTATTGTGTGTAGATTGATGAGGGGGGAAGAAACAATTTAATCCACTTTAGAATAAGGCTGTAACGTAACAAAATGTGGAAAAAGTCAAGTGGTCTGAATACTTTCCGAATGGACTGTATATAGGGAATAGGGTGCCATTTGGGGCACCGTCTGAATGGTTCTCACTGGAGACATCCAGGCAAAGTTTAACTGCTGACAGCAATCCCTGGAATGCATTCTTCAGTTTTATGCTATTCTCCCGACACACCATGTTAGTCAAATTTCATTTGGAATGTACTATAGAATTTATTTTTAGCTGCTGCTACTTTCCAAGGTTAGGTCTACCGCTCCTCTTGCTTTGGGTGTTATTGTTGGTGTATAGGGACTTGGGGAATAAATATTTGGGTTTTTCTCTAACAAATAGGTTTCAGTTTATCCTCTAGCTTTTACCTCACTCATAATTCCTCATGAAGAATGATGGTATATTTCAAATGACATGCTTCTTTCCCTTCTCTATCCAAACCCCAGTGTCTAGTCCAAATACATGTCCTCCCCTCCCTGTCACCTCCCACATCTGCTGCCAAGGAATCTGACATGAGGAGTATGTGGTTAGAGCCGGTCACATTTCAGTAAAAATCTTACTCTGTGTTCTATTGTAGCAATATGATCTGTCAGTTGTTGTTTTATGCTAAATCTAAAACATTCTGATCTGAACAATGGATTGTGTGGAGCAGTTTGAAAAATACAATTACTACAGGGTCGGGCCAATTCTATTTTGATTCCAGGCAGTACAGGAAATTCATAAACTAAAGACTGATAGTGTTCCGGAACGACTGGATTCCTTTAAATGGCACTAGTTGTATAACTGGTTCCAGTGTGTACTCTCGTGACAGACTTTTAACATAAATGTTAACCAAATCAAGTAGCTGGCCAGCATTCTCATGAGATTTGGTTCTGTGTTTTGAGATTACTTGTAGTATAACCCTGTCCCCAGCCTCAATTGTAGAGAGCGCCGGCTGGGGATAAGAGTACTTCTAACACAGTATATTGTGTTGTGAATGTATCCTGTTACAGACCCTAGTGCATCATGTGAGGCCTATATCTCAGTGATGTGATGGCCTGTAGGGGGTCACATTATGTGAGCCTGATTAATTTTGCAGCTGCCACCGGCAAAACAGAACTTTGTTGAATAGGTTTCAGCGGGGCCTGTTGACTGCATCCCCAGCCCCAGTCTGTGTCCCAATTGGCATCCTATTCCCTATATAGTGCACTCCTTTTGACCAGAGCCCTATGGGGATAAAGCCCCAGATCGACTAGTCTATGATGCACATATCTCATTGGGTGTTGTGGCCACAACCCTGGCTGATAGTCCTCGTGGGACCAAACAAGGCCACTTTTTTACATCTCCGCAAACAGGGTCAGCCATATTCCAGGAGAAGTCATGGGAAAAAATACTCAAAAATGCACAACAACATTGCCCTTGATTTTTTTATTTTTTTTATAGATTGTTGATCTCATCTGATAGGCTTTTGATGAGATGAGAATCAAGCTTGTGTCACAGTTGGTATTTAAAATGTGTGCTCTTCAACATGGGTCAAATGCATGGACACAAAACACATGTACTGGTTTGAACAAGAGATGCATTTTAATCTATTACTATTATCTATAAGTAAGTTCCTGGAATTCATGTAGATGGGAATCATGCATATCTAAGTCTTTGTTATCAGCCCCATTTTTGACTGATGCATACACACTGCATTGACCTGGGTGTTGACAATGGTCTGCTGGTCTCAGAGGGGTGGATCCTCAAGCACATGCACTTGTGACTTCAGAGGTTATAGCCCCTCACTTCCTGTGAACTTCAGTTCAACTTACTACACACATTGGGCTGTCAATCCTGTATTAATGTGTGAACAGTCTTGTGTCTTGCTTTCGACCTCACGTGACCCAACATATCTGTTTTTAACTGTAGAAACAACTTGGTTTAAAAGGCCAGCTACTTTTTGTTCTCTGTGTAGTCTTGTGAGGTACATATGGAGGGAATGGGATTTTTTTCATAGTGCCATGCTTAAAGGGCTCTCCACAGCACAACAGTATGTAGAACTATGTAGAGAGCTACGCAAACTAACCTCTGTCGGATCCGTTGCGTAGACTGTGTAAAGCCTTTTACAGCAAGTCATTGAGCAGTTTGAGGAAAACTACATTCCACTCTGAATAAAGATTCAATCAGCCTTTTGGGGACAGTTTGTACCTTTGTCCTCCGCTACAATGCGTTTTGTGTTGGTCTGCCTGAATCTTCACTGAATTCCAGGGAGTGGCCACTGGGCACCACCACACTGGCACAACCAACGTAAAAATGATTCAATCTGTTCACACCAGGGGTTAAATAAGGAAAGTAATGTGCAATGTACGCAGAAGTCTGAAGGCTGTTCTCATCAGAAGACAATACACACCGCAAAGAAGCCTTATGAAGGGTTTCTTTTGGCCCATTTTGAGAAATACAGTATTCTGATCCAGTTGTGTTATTATTACAGTAAATAAATTATGCTTTATTGCTTTAGAGTTGTAACACTACACAATAGTTACAATACAGCATACAGAAACAAGGCAAGAAAGGCCATTTTGGTTTATATAAAAGAATACAAAGGCGATAGTAAAAAAAAAAGATAATTAATATAATTGACAAGCTGAGCTCTGACAACATTTTAATAATTTTTGATATAGCTGCAAACAAATACAGCTGTTAAGGCACTTAAAATATTTAGTTCACACTGTATGTGCATCATTAACACCATATTTCAGTAGAGCTCAGGTCAGGTGCATTAATATGTACGAAACTTTAGGAAAAAAATATATTTAATGTATTTGTTGATGTGCAAAAATATATTACAAAATTACAAGAGGAAAAGCTTTAGCCACATCATACTTGTGTTATTTGCTGGCTTTAAACATACATTTCAATGTGCTTTATGTTGTAAAGGCAGGTTAACAACATAGAATACATGCGACACTGATTTAAAAAAAGATATATATATATTTATATAAATATATTTAAGGTGATGTAGTATAAAATGTAGTGTTTGCTTTAATATGTTGAGGTTTAGATGCATCTGTACTGTACTGTATATGTTAACAAACCTGGAAGTGGACACTACTGTGTTACTAACTTGATAGCTATTACTGTACATTTGTGATTGGTCAGGTGCAGTTGAAGGACGAAGACAGTGATTCTCATTGGTCTTCTTGGTCGTTGTTGCAGTCTCCACACAGGATCTGGTCTCGGTCGGGGAAGAAGCCGGCCCCAACCAGAGAGACGGAGCAGCGGGAGCACTTGAAGCAGGGCTGGTGCCATTGACGATCCTGGAAAGAAATATACTTCCCCTCGCCAAACCCTGGAGGGAAATAAAACACACTCGTTAGCATCTATAACAGAATACGGTTACGTCTCAAATGGCACCCTATTTCCTATATAGCCCTATAGGCCCTGGTCAAAGGTAGTGCACTATAAAGTGAATAGGGTGCCATTTGGGACATGGTCTACGTCTGCAGAGAGACCTTTGACTCTCACCTGGATTGACAGGTGGGCCATAAGAGAGACATTACACAACACAAAAAAAAATTACATTCTGAACATTAAGTTCTGTGGGTTATTCTATGGTTGGCTACAATAATAGCCCTGCTGAGGATCTGTCAGTTCTCTGAGGTCCCTGTGTTTAATTGAAACATTGGCATTCTAAACATAGCCGCAGGCTTTACTAGTATATTTACAGTATGTCTGTGCTCTGGCATTAGGCTGAGATGGTACAAAGTGGTATAATGGGGAAGACATTGTGTGCGTGCCAAATGGCACTCTATTACCTCTATGGTGCACTCATTTTGAACAGAGCTCTATGGGCCCTGGACAAAAGTAGTGCAATATAAAGTGCAATTTGGGACACAGACAGTGTTTCAAATCAACCCATATTATCGAGTCAAATGGAGAATGTACTAACCTGTGATGGGCGAGTTACAGGAGGCACACTTCTGTGCGTAGATGCTGCTGAAGCACTTGACGCAGTAGGGCGTGTCTCCCTGGGAGGTGAAGGGCTGGCCGGCCAGTGGGATCTTGCATCCCGTGCACACGAAACACTCTTTGTGCCACGTCTCATCCTTGTAGCTCACACCCCCTGTCGCCAGCGCCTACGGAGGAGACATGCCCATCAACCACCCACTTGATCTAGCAAGTGTTTTTCACAAGGAACCTATCTACTACTGTGAACATGTCAATAACAGTGACAGGGAGAGGATGATGAAGGATAGCAGTTGATTTGAGGAGACCCTGGTTCACCTTTTTGCAGTGGCTGCATTGCGGTGCGAACCTGCCCTCGTAGCACGGTACACAGTAGTAGTGGTCTTTGTCTGGGATGAAGGACTGGGCACCGATGGGCTTCTCACAGCCATGGCACACAAAGCAGTTCTCGTGCCATGCAGAGCCCTCATACTCCAACTTCTTTGAGCCTGCCAGAGGGAGGGGGGAGAGGGAGAGAAATAAGAGAGAGAGAGAGAGAGAGAGAGAGAGAGAGAGAGAGAGATAAATAAGAGAGAGAGAGAGAGAGAGAGAGAGAGAGAGAGAGAGAGAGAGAGAGAGAGAGAGAGACAGAGACAGAGACAGAGACAGAGACAGAGACATAGAGACATAGAGACATAGAGACATAGAGACATAGAGACATAGAGACATAGAGACAGAGAGACATAGAGACAGAGAGACATAGAGACAGAGAGACAGAGAGACATAGAGACATAGAGACATAGAGACAGAGAGACAAAGAGAAGGAGACAGACAGTTTTGGTATAAATCAGTCTGTCTGCAAGAGTCATCATCTGAGTAGTCATCACAATTACAGGTTTGTGTGCCATGTCAGCCACTTGAGTTCTGGGTTACAATGTCAACCCTCAGCATTGCGTAATCTCCAAGTGCTCACACTACTGCTATAGCCAAAACAGGATGATTCAGTAATAACTGTACCTATTTGTACACAGACTCAATATACCTCCCAGTCAACTCATAAAGTATAAATAATATTACAGGATTTTGCCATCAAGAATGCCTGTGTGGTGTTACAGCAAGTCAGGGCCAAATGGCTTTATGTAAGGAGGTATTTCAGAATGATGGTTTATGGGTGACTGTTCTTGGAACTTCTGACTTTAAGCGTATGCAGTTTAGTCTTCCACAAATACACACTTCCTCCAAGTAGGTAATAAAAGTAGCCAAAATAAAAGAAAGCGAGCCATGCCTATGAAAATGAACACCAGACCTCTTAATCATTGCCCTTGTTTTACGAGCTTTGGGACCTGAAAAATGCGGAGGTCGGCCAGTTGAACGTGTAACCGGCTGCATTTTTGAAAGGGGCGAGGGCGCAGTGTAGCGTTTAACTGCCACAGAAACCTAACACCCCACCCTGTCCAGATTTAATCCTGTGTAATTTGCAGTCATCCGACACCCACCCCTGCTGGTGGCGTAACACTGCCATGCCGTCACAAAGAACCTGGGGCCAGAATTCAACTGAGAGGCACTTTCAGCCGAGCGAGCACTGTCCCATCTAAGCACTGTCACACCCTAGCTGCTCAACAACAAAAACACATTAGCCTTTTCATGGCTGCATCCCAAATGGCAAACTATTCCCTATGTAGTGCACTACTTTTGACCAGGGCCCTGAAGGTAGTGCACTATACCCAGGGAATAGGGTGCCATTTGGGACACAGCCTATGCTGTCCACGCCTGGGTGTGAGAACCCCTACCTCTACACTTTAGTGACACTGACTGAGGCAACGGAGCGGAATAGGTGGAATGGTATCAAATACAGCAAACACATGGTTTGATGCCATTCCACTTGCTCCATTCCCCTCAGCAGCCTCCACTGGTGTTGTGTTATGTATGGCCCCGTGTGGCTCAGTTGGTAGAGCATGGCGCTTGCAACGCCAGGGTTGTGGGTTTGTTTCCCACGGGGGGCCAGTATGAAAAAATGTATGCACTCACTAACTGTAAGTCGCTCTGGATAAGAACATCTGCTAAATGACTAAAATGTAAAATGTAATGTTGTCATGTATCCCCGCACGTTTCTGAGAGTTTCGATGTTCTGCTTGAGGGTACCTCTCCCTACTCAAGGGAAACAGTATCAGCTTTGGGTACCTGGCATGACGGTCTTGTCGCAGGCCACGCACTTGGAGGAGAACTCATTGCAATAGCAATCATTGCACAGCAGCGCCTCCTCCTGGCTGGTGAAGGGCTCGTCCGCCAGGGAGCGGTCACAGCGGAAACAACGGAAACAGTGTTGGTGGTAGTGTCTGTCCTCATAGAACAGCTCCTGGAGAGGGAGAGGAGGAGGAGGAGTAAGAGGGATGGACCCAGGCAAGGCAGGTCAGAGTCCGAAATATTCGGATTGAAAGACCATTCACATTAGTGGTAGCTGGTGGGCAGAGATATCGGAGGACAGGCTCATTGTAATAGCTGGAATGGTTTGATGTGTTTGATACCTTTCCTTTCCATTCCAGCCATTACAATGAGCCCGTCCATCTATATCTCCACCCACCAGCCTCCTCTGGTTCACATTTATGTTTATATGACAATGAGCTAGATTAGATCTGTTAACAAGGAGGTTTTACTGCATAACTCTAACTTCAATATAAACCATTTGAGTAAATATTGAAACAGTGTCCACAAAGAGATGTTTTAAATAATCCACCGCTTACAGTATGTTCCAGATCAACTGTAGTGCAAGCAAACACGGCTAACACACATTGCATGATTAATGTCTCGCATTATGTTCGGGGTGAAAACAATAATAATCCATTTGATTTGACCCGTTGGTGGGTTTTCACAGTGTTAGTAAAGGGGAATTGGACAGAGAGGGATGAGTGCGGTAAGTACTGTGTGGAGGAGGAGGAGGAGGAGGAGGAGGAGGGCCAAAGCTAACAGGAGATTTATTTACTGCCAGTCCCTCTGAGAGAGTCCATAACTCAGAGGTCACCCGTGCCCCGTGGCGTCTAAGGGTGTTCCCTTCAGCCCTGTGTTTTCATTTGACTCTAACCAAAAGGCCTTAATGTCTGCCTGGAGCAGCTCAAAGGGGATTTGCAGATGTCTTGGTATTTGCCAAAAGAGCAGGAAAGTTGTGTTTTCCAAGAACTCCAGCTCTTTAGAAGCCATTATAATCGAACACATGGACAAGGACAAATGCACACATACGCACACACTCTACTTCAGAAGTGACCACACATTCAAACAACTGTAGACAGAAAACAACCACTTGCCACATGTAGACACATTCACACACACACAACATATGCTAAACACATTCACACACACACCTAGATCATACCGTTTATGCTTACCCGTGCATTGTGTGCGATGAGCTCCTTACACTCCTGACATGTGTTGGCATACAGGCGGTCATAGCAGGGGATACAGTGGGGAACGTCCTCCACTTGGATGTATTTGCGTCCGTACAGGGACTCCTTGCACTCGCCACAGTCAAAACGGTCACTCATGTTGTCTTATCCCCGATTCACCTCCTGAAAGGAAATATCACAACCACAGTGAGTGAACGCTTGCTGAGCAAAGGAGGAGAGGAATGAGGACAGCGCTGTGAACGTGTGAGGGAAGAGGGGGGGGGGGGGGGGGGGCAGTGAGGGGAGTGAGAGAGAGAGAGAGAGAGAGAGAGAGAGGGAGAGAGGAGAGAGGGAGAGAGGAGAGAGATTCCCATGCAAATAAAATAAAAACTAAAATGTATTTGCCTAGAAGTAAGTATCCAAGGCAACCAGTCAACAGTAGGATAGGATGACCTTTAATGCCCCAGAGGGGGAAATTGTCTACTGCTGTATACAAAATAGACACTGTACAAAACACACTCAACATAATACATACATTGCACGTTACCCATGTCATACATGTTGTACACGTCTCGTACAACCAAATACATAATACATATTGCACACACTACCCTAACACACTCTGTCAGCGGCATACTAACAGATCAGCTTAACTTAATGCTGTTTAGACACCATGGACCTCCAAGGCCCTAGCCTGGTCCCAGATCTGTTTGTGCTTTTGACTACTCCATTTTTATTGTCAAGCCAAACAAGGTTTTGCATTACAATTCCATAAGAAGTTGGCAAGAGAACAGAAACAGATCTGGCACTCAGGCTGCCAAAGCCCCTGATTCACCCTGGGAAACATTCCTGACTACATGTTCTAATCAGGTGATTGACATCTCATATGGTGAATAGGAAGGACGTGGTGGAAATACGCCTGACAGCTCTACTATACTGAGACAATCAGAACACCCTCCAGGCTATTTCTTAAGTCTGTAGGGAGCTGCGAGAGTATGTGACACCATGTCAGATACATGTACCCCAGTAGCGAAAGGGAAACAGAGTATGGGATTGCGTCTGTAGCTTTTCCTATAGAATGGGAAGGGCAAACAGGGTCCAACGGGGTACAAATGGGATGTGTCCCAAATGGCACCCTAGTTCCTACATAGTGCACTACTTTTGACCAGAACCATATGGGCCCTGATCAAAAGTAGTGCGCTATATAGGGAATAGGGTGCCATTTGGGAAGCAACCATGGTGTAGAGTAGCAAAAACTGGGAAGTGGGGGGATAAAGGTTGGAATTACATGAGTGGAGAAAGGTCTCAAGTTTAGCTAACACAGGCTCAAGAAAACATTGTCAGGAACATGGCATTGACAGAGACTCTAAAGGCAGACACAAATGTTTATCTTGGAAGCCATTTTGTTTATAATATTTTCCCTCTTTTTGAGGCAAAGAACACCCTTGAAATGCTTTCAGAATGTCAAAAAGCGAGGAGAAGGGTTGCGGGTTCAGTGATGTGCAGCTGAGCTTCAGGCGGTGGGTTTTAAAGGGAAGGGAAAGCCCTGGGGGTGAAGGGTTTAGCAGCTCCCACTCAGCAGACAGAGCTGAAGTCACAGCCTCACAGGCTCCATGTCCTAGTAGTGATTGAACCCAGGAACTGGGCTGCATCCCAAATGGCACCCTATTCCCTATACCTGTATAATGCACTACTTTTGACCAGGACCCAAAGGGCCATTTGGCACGCTCACGTGGAGTTCCGAACCAAGCAGACCTCATTTCTTGGAAATGCATTTTGCACACACAGGGTTGGCTTGATATAAAACAGGGGGGGTTGAATCAACCATTGCTCATGAAAGGAATTCCATCCTACAGTTGCGGTTGTTTTTTTACAGGTATTGAGTTAAATGTACTGGAACCCACAAGTTATTCGCATCTGGTCCATTAATGAGTCGGCTCAGCAGTGGGGTGTACGTGCCATTCAAATGACTAGCCTCAGACTTTATTTACCATTATTACCACCATTTATACACGATGGCAAGCACACAAGACAGAAGACCTGGCGAAAGAACAACTTCTGTTTTATCCACCCTATTTGTCTCTTTTGTTTATAATTAAGCAACTGAAAACTTAGCTAACCTCCACAAAATGTCATAGCAGCAGCGCATTTGTAATGGGAACATTGAGCCATATCCTCCTCCCCCATCAGCTAGGCTGCATCAGCCTAAAGAGGTTTGATACTTTACAAGGTCAAAGACACTTGGACGGAACACAAAACAGACAAGTCCATCACACTCCATATCTGTTTCATGTCCGTTTATTGTGAGAGCGGTGGAAATCAGCTTGACTTCCCCTGCTAATGTCTCTCAAGAGGTTAGGCTTCTAGCTATTCTAGTCCATCCATCCCTAGAACCACTGCACTGATGCAACAATGGCCTTCCTTCCGGGCATAGTCCCCACACAGCTCTCTGAGGCCCCAGTATGACATCTGCAAATACATTATTTGTACTCCAGCTGTTGTGTCGACAAGTATAGGCATTATGACATTCCTTTCTATGTTTTGAAAGTCATACAAATGTTAACCATAAAAATGTATATGTCTGACCCAAAATCAAAATATAAACCAAGCCCTTTCTTTTTGATAATTTAAATCTATTGCGTCATTGTTTTCGGAGCCACAGATGGATTGGACCTATCCTTCACTGAACAACAATGAGCAGCTGATGAGTATTTCTGTCTGTAATAAAGCCCTTTTGTGGGGAAAAACTCATTCTGATTGGCTGGGCCTGGCTCCTCAGTGGGTGGGCCTGGCTGCCAAGTGGATGGGCCTATACCAATGGCTGCACCCCTGCCCAGTCAGTTGAAATCCATAGATTATGATTTCCTTATATGAACTGTAACTCAGTAAAATCTTTGAAATTGTTGCTTGCTGCGTTTATATTTTTTATCAGTATACATAAATGTATCTGTGTCTCCGCGTCCTGCTCCCAGTGAGACGTTAAGTCAAACAGAAATCCATCAATGGGAGACGTGTTTTTCTCTCCTAGCACACTTCTGTTATAACTCTGAATTTCGCACTTCCAGCCCCAGCAGACACATGGATATTCTTCAGTGATATATTGTCCACGCTGGTGAAAGATTAATCGGAGTCATTGACTCTGAAGGCTTTGTACTGTGAGCCAGACAGCAACACACACTCTCTCTTCGTCTCCCACATGGCCCAACAACCGACCAGGCCGCTCTCTGTCCCTTCAAGGTTCTCTGAAGTTGTTTTCTTTCTTTCTAACCTGACATTTTCTTCAGAGTGCGGAGCCAGTTGGAACTGCATGTGTGTGAGTTCTACTGCAGGGTGCTTCTCTGTCTGCGTGGGTTCTTCCTAAATGGTAACCTGTACCCTATACAGTCCACTACTTTGACCAGGACCAATGGGGCTCTGATCAAAAGTAGTGTACTATAAAGGGAATAGGGTGCCATTTGCGATGCACACTGTGTGTTTATTTTCCCAGCAGAGGAGTCTAGTGTGCCCTATGCTTTACAAAGCAGGATGTTCCATGATGAAACCCCATGACACCTAGGAGCAAGAGAAAAGAGAAAGGAGCCTTTGTCTGAAATGGAACAATCCTACAGTAGTGTGTAGGTAGCCTACTTCCTTGGATAACATTACCAGTTTCTTCCTAGGATTAAAAAAAATACTCATCAGGTGGTTGTTCTTGTTGACATGTGCTGGGTGACCTATTGCACTTTCCACTGATATTCAAATTAGAGCCCTGCACAAGCATGAATTTTAAGCCTGAGTCCTACCCATGCCTGCGACGTTCAGGCCCTACCCTACCCTGTCCAGATTGCTTTTGCCAAATTTAAGGCTCTGCCCGAAATCAGAGATAACTTCCTTTGTTAGTATTCATTAGATGCTTGTCTCTGTCTGTCCCTCGCTCCCTGCGCTTTTCGCGCTGCATACATAAATAAATTGGTCATTTAGCAGACGCTCTTATCCAGAGCGACTTACAGGAGCAATTAGGGTTAAGTGCCTTGCTCAAGGGCACATCGACAGGTTTTTCACCTAGTCGGCTCGGGGATTAGAACCAGCGACCTTTCGGTTACTGGCACAACGCTCTTAACCACTAAGCTACCTGCCGCCCAGTCTGCGTGTGTGAGTATCCATAGCAATGGCTCTGCCTTGGGCTGCTCAATCACAAGACTTGAGAGACCAGTTAGCTGCTAGCTAGCTATTTTTCGTCACACTAAACTCGACAAAACTCAAGGAACAATATTATTTTATAGGGATGGGCATGAGTATCGAGCACTTGAGTACACGTCAAAACTCGATCTTTAACCAGATATATTTTTTCAAATACTGTAAAACTATTTAGTAAAATGTTTGTCTTGAAGACAACGTTAATTTGTTTTGACTTTAGAGTTGCATTTGTACATGTGCATTTGCGGGGGAAAACAAAAAAGAAACCAAGCAATGCATCAAACAGTTCTTCTTATTAAATTCCCTTTCCCCCCCATGTCTTGCTCACTCAATTGCGTTCTGACCACTCCCTCTACACCAGTGGCGTGTATTCATGGATGCCAGGCTTCCCCCCCAAAAAAGACTAAAACATACAAAATAGTGTATCTTTCGACTCTCTGTGTTTCATAAATTTCCTGCCATTCACAAGTGGCTGAATGTGTCTCACCGGAGAAAGCATCTGAGCGAACAAAACAGCGCCCCTCTGTCTCAGTATGTGTAGCGTATCTAACTGATGCTGTCTTGTCAGAAAGAGTTCAGACCAAACACATCACAAGTCAAACCTCATTCTTGACATTGTTGTTGTCCTCTGGTGGCTAACTAGCTACAGTTGAAGTCGGTTGGAGTCATTAAAACTCGTTTTTCAACCACTCCACAAATGTCTTGTTAACAAACTATAGTTTTGGCAAGTCGGTTAGGACATCTACTTTGTCCAACAATTGTTTACAGACAGATTATTTCACTTATAATTCACTGTCTCACAATTCCAGTGGGTCAGAAGTTTACATACACTAAGTTGACCGTGCCTTTAAACAGCTTGGAAATTTCCAGACATTGATGTCATGGCATTAGAAGCTTCTGATAGGCTAATTGACCTCCACAAGTCTGGTTCATCCTTGGGAGCAATTTCCAAACGCCTGAAGGTACCACGTTCATCTGTACAA